GGGTGAACTCCCTCTTCTACACACCTACAGCATTTGGCCCTCCCCCCCCAACCCCAAGGCAGGAATAAGCATGTGACCCAGGGCTTCCCAATCAGAGTCACAGCTGTTGGTTCAAAAGATGACCAGGAGACCTGATCCAGGCCAATGACACTCAGCCCAGACTTCTGCAGAAACAAACGAAGAAAGGGGTACTTCCCAGGGGGCACGGGACTGGGGCCAAACAGATCATAATGTGAGAACTGCCCTCTAGGATAAAGCTGAGACGGGGGAGCAGGGTACTTCCCTTCTGCCGAGGCCGCCAGAGCAGTGGGCACGGGACTGGGGCCAAACAGATCATAATGTGAGAACTGCCCTCTAGGATAAAGCTGAGACGGGGGAGCAGGGTACTTCCCTTCTGCCGAGGCCGCCAGAGCAGGGGGCACGGGACTGGGGCCAAACAGATCATAATGTGAGAACTGCCCTCTAGGATAAAGCTGAGACGGGGGAGCAGGGTACTTCCCTTCTGCCGAGGCCGCCAGAGCAGGGGGCACGGGACTGGGGCCAAACAGATCATAATGTGAGAACTGCCCTCTAGGATAAAGCTGAGACGGGGGAGCAGGGTACTTCCCTTCTGCCGAGGCCGCCAGAGCAGGGGGCACGGGACTGGGGCCAAACAGATCATAATGTGAGAACTGCCCTCTAGGATAAAGCTGAGACGGGGGAGCAGGGTACTTCCCTTCTGCCGAGGCCGCCAGAGCAGGGGGCACGGGACTGGGGCCAAACAGATCATAATGTGAGAACTGCCCTCTAGGATAAAGCTGAGACGGGGGAGCAGGGTCCAAGGACAGAGACAATTTCCTGACGACACAGTCTGACGATTCAGCCGAGGCTGGACTTCACAAGTGCGTGAGACAATATTATATTCTCTTTTGTAACTGAAGTCAATTTGAGGTAGGGTTTTGTCACTTGAAACCACAAGAGTTTGTGACTAATACATGACCCAACTAACTCCCTTTTCTGCAAAAATTGCTCAGAATCATACAATAAATCACTGGGGCATGAATCAGAAACTCATGAATGATGAAATGAGAGAAAAGAACTGGCAGTGAGCCTTGAAACTAGCTAAAGATGGAGAGATAACTGAATAAAAACACCACTCAGTAGAGACTGAGGCTGACAAGCTGAAGTAATTGTTGTTGCTATGGTAACAAACAATGCAAACGGGAAAAATTGAGAAAGAGGAGTTTTTTAAACCGGGGTTTTAACCTCAGAGTAATGCAATGAAAACCAGAGAGGAAGAAAGAGGGTAGGAAAAGCAAGGTACTAAGCCTTTGTTTTACATAAAATGAAGAAAAGAGATATTGTGAAAAATTGTATAATTTCATTTTTTTCAGTGTAAAACGTTTTATGTCTACCTTATAAATTAATTTGTTGTTGTTCAGTCACTGAGTCCTGACTCCTCTGTTCTCCACTATCTCCCGGAGTTTGCTCAAGTTCGTGTTTATTGAGTCAGTGATGCTATCTAACCATCTCATCTTCTGCCACCCCCTTCTCCTTTTGCCTTCAGTCTTCCCCAGCAAAAGGGTCTTTTCCAATGAGATAGCTCTCCGTGTCAAGTTACAAGAGATAAAAGGAAGGTAATTCATACAACAAAACTTGAGACCTGTAACCAGAAGTGTACTAGACACTTTCCTCACATTGTAATCAGAAAAGAAATGGCAAGGAATCATTAAAGAAAATCAAAATACTAGAAAATTAGATGACGGAAAGTTAAGAGAAATGTAAATAAATAAGAAACCTAAGTAGCTAAAACCCCTGTATAAAAATATGAAAATCTCAAAGGGCAAACTCTGAATATTTACTGTTGTTAGCAAAGATGTGCCAAAAGAGAAGACAGATATAGGATATTAACCCATGCGTTTGGGATCTAAAAGACTGAAAACCGTGTGCGCAGGGCAGCGATGGCGACCCAGGCATAGAGAACAGAGTGTGGACACAGCGGGAGAAGGGGGAACGAACAGAGACGACAGCATGGAAACATATTCACTACCATATGCAAGAGAGACAGCAAGTGGGGGTGTGCCGTGTGGCACAGAAGCTCAACCCGGTGCTCTGTGACAACGTAGATGGGTGGGGTGGGGTGGGGAGGGAGGGGGGTCCACGTGGGAGGGACACGTGTATACCTGTGGCTGATTCATGCTGAGGCATGGCAGAAACCGGCACAGTATGGTAAAGCGATTATCCTCCAATAAAAAAGAAAAGACGTGCCAAAAAACACACAGGCTAAAAAGTCACTGCAAAACCAAATTCACCATGTTACACAGCAGCACAAAACGGGAGACAGATAATCTTTGGAAATACAACTAATAGATACACAGCTACAGTGAAATATGTTACAGTAAAATACATTACACTGTGACATATAAAATAAGGATAAATACAAGCGAAGCAGCACAATAATAAGGCATAAAAGTATACACTGAGTCCTACACCTACATAAAATATAAAAGGTATCTTGCCACAAAAAGGTCTTTTGTTTGTTTGATTGACTTTTTTGGCCATGAGGCATGTGGGATCTCAGTTCCCAGATCAGGGATCTCGCTGGTAGCCTCTGCAGTAGAAGCCCAGAGTCTCAACCACCGAGCCATGAGGTAAGTCCTGAGTGGCAAATTTTATGTTATATATATTTTACCACCAAAAAATCAATTGGCTACACTTGTGATCATTGATTTCTGGAGTCTCTAGGTCCATCGATCTATGTGTTTACCCCTGTGACAGTATCAGGGTATTAATTCAAAATTTGTCTTTTGGCCATGCCATGCAGCCTGTAGTTCCCCAATCAGGGATCAAACTCACTGCCCCTGCACTGGAAGCTTGGAGTGTCCACCAATGGACCACTGGGGAAGTCCCCCAGACTGTCTTAATTATTCCAGCTATAAAGGAAGTCTTAAAATCAGATACTGGGAGTCTTCTAACTTTATTCATGTTTTTCTAAACTGTTTGAAATACTATATTTCTTTTGACTCCCAGTATCAATTTTGGTCACAGTTTTTCTTCCAAGGAGCAAGGGTCTTTTAATTTCATGGGTGCAGTCACCATCTGCAGTGATTCTGGAACTATAACCAACCTAGACAGCATGTTAAAAAGCAGAGACATTGCTTTGCCAACAAAGGTCCGTCTAGTCAAAGCTATGGTTTTCCCAGTGGTCATGTATGGATGTGAGAGTTGGACTATAAAGAAAGCTGAGCACAGAAGAATTGATGCTCCTGAACTATGGTGTTGGAGAAGACTCTTGAGAGTCCCTTGGACTGCAAGGAGATCCAACCAGTCCATCCTAAAGGAAATCAGTCCTGAATGTTCATTGGAAGGGCTGATGCTGAAGCTGAAACTCCAATACTTTGACCAACTGATGCAAAGAGCTGACTCATTTGAAAAGACCTGATGCTGGGAAAGATTGAAGGCGGGAGGAGAAGGGGACGACAGAGGATGAGATGGTTGGATGGCATCACCGACTCGATGGACATGAGTTTGAGTAAGCTCCGGGAATTGGTGATGGACAGGGAGGCCTGGCGTGCTGCAGTCCATGGGGTCGCAAAGAGTGGGACACGACTGAGCGACTGAACTGAACTGGTCACTTTCAGACTGTGGTGCTGGAGAAGACTCTTGAGGGTCCCTTAGACTGCAAGGAGATCAAACCAGTCATTCCTAAAGGAAATCAGTCCTGAATATTCATTGCAGAGACTGGTGATAAGCTTCCAAATGATTTCTTTCAATTTTTATTTTTTTTAAGACTTGCCATGTAGCCTGACCCCTGAGCAGAAGGGGTTATGATCAGATGGCAGAACTTCCAAATAGGAGGGGAGTGACCGCCCACATGGTCATTTAGGGCCAAGATCAGGAGTCCAGCTCTGTCCCCTGTTCCTTCAGAAAAAGGCACTCAGTGGTCCATACACACATCATCTGCTCCTTCTCTCTGGTAATCAAGGAAATGCAAACGAAAACCACACCTGCCAAATGCAGGAGATCTAAGAGATGTGAGTTCAATCCCTGGGTCGGGAAGGTCCCCTGGAGGAGGGCATGGCAACCCACTCCAGCATTCTTGCCTGGAGGATCCTATGGACAGAGGAACCTGGTGGGCTATACGTAGTCCATGGGGGTCGCTAAGAGTCAGACATGACTGCAGTGACAGCATGCATGCAACCAAGGAAATGCAACAAAATCACAAAGAGATGCCATGATACACGTTATGTTGGGCTGTGCTCGGCTGTGTCCGACTCTCTGTGACCCCACGGGCTGTAGTCTGCCAGGTTCCCGTGTCCATGGGATTTCCCAGGCAAGAATACTGGGGTGGGTAGCCATCACCTACACCAAGGGTTTATGCTCGTTACATTGATGGAATTAGAGTCTGACGGAGCCAAGTGCAGGTGAGGATGGGGAACATGGACACGCCCTGTGTTCCAGGGGCCGCCACACGGCACAGGCCCTGCGCGTAGCCCTCAGTGGGGGTGAAGATGCGTCCTGCACCCAAGTGGTCACCCAGCCCACCCCCGCTACAGGGTTCTGCAACTGCCGTGTTGAGACTCCTAATAATTTATCCCAGGGCCCCATGTTTTGCTCTGTTACCAGGTCCTGCAAATTCTGTAGCCAGTCCCGCCTGGAGGTTTCACTCCGTGGTACGTGGGCACCAGGACACAGACAGAGGATGTTCATAGCAGCTCCGTTTCTGCAAGACGCCAGAGCTCCCTGCCCCCAGCATGGGTGAATCCCAGAAGGAGGCCCCTGAGTAACAAGCACAGGGAACAGAAGAATGCAGCCACAGGCCCCCGACCCCGTCAGAGAGACAAGCAGGATGAACGGATGGCGTCAGGAGACGCACGTGCGGGCAAGTCCCCACAGAAATACTTTCCAGCACGAGTGAGGCTGGGCAAGGTTGCTCCCAGGTTGGTTGATGGACCCATAGTTACTATCTATTATGTCTGATCTATGATTTTGCTTCTCCGTGCATTTATGTCAAACGCTTGATGGAAGAACCGGCCCAGGCTGGGAGAGGCGGCCGTGACAGGCGGCCGTCCTTGGCGGGGACGTGCAGGCTGGACACGAGAGGCAGCTGCCTAGGACCAGCTTCATCCGTGAGGCCCTGGTCACACAGAAGACGAAACTACACAGAGGACATCAAGAGGACCAAACTGCAGCCTGTTTTTGTAAGATATGTCCACGCAGTTCCGACTCTAAAATCTGTAACTCGTGCATGTAATCTGTTTCATTTCAGCAACTTTCTATTGCTTGCCTTTCTGGGCAAAAAGGTGACCTTCATTTCTAGAGGCTCTTTTTTTGGTTTCATTTCTAAACATCTACTTTGGTTGTTTTGTTCCACACCCAAAATCAAAGTCTTGTTTTCCCTCTTCTCTTTTCCAAGTTCTGTCTTTCCTGTCTTGTTACTTTCATAATTTAGAAGTGGAGGTGGAGGGGAGGAGGGGGGAGGGGAGGAGGGGAGGAGGGGAGGAGGGGAGGGGAGGAGGGAGGGAGAGGGGAGGGGGGAGGAGGGGAGGAGGGGAGTAGGGAGAGGGGAGGAGGGGGGGAGGGGGGGAGGGGGGGAGGGGAGGAGGGGAGGGGAGGGGAGGGGGGGAGGGGAGGAGGGGAGGGGAGGAGGGGGGGAGGGGAGGGGAGGAGGGGGGGAGGGGAGGGAGAGGGGAGGGGGGAGGAGGGGAGGAGGGGGGGAGGGGAGGGAGAGGGGAGGGGGGAGGAGGGGAGGAGGGGAGGAGGGGAGGAGGGGAGGGGAGGAGGGGAGGGGAGGAGGGGAGGGGAGGAGGGGAGGGGGGGAGGGGAGGAGGGGAGGGGGGGAGGGGAGGAGGGGGGAGGGGAGGGGGGGAGGAGGGGAGGAGGGAGGAGAGGGAGGAGGGAGGAGAGGGAGGCGGCAGGTGCCCCAGTTGAGCTGTGAGGAGCGGTGGGGACGGTGGTCTCAGGAGTGGCCTCCTGGGCCCCGGCCTGGCCCCTGGCACCCCTGCCAGGGCTGGGTTGGCCCCCAGGAGTCTGCACGCACCCCTTGGCCCTGGGCACCCAGATATCCAGGCCCGAGTCCCTCGGCAGCAGAGCTGGGTTGAAGTGCAGCTTCATGGGTGGGGCTGGCTGAGGCCCAGAACCAGTGTGGGTAGCTGGGGGTCCCAAACCCTCTGAAGGAACCTGGGGGGCTGGCTTCCTGCCTGTCTCCCTGGCTCTGGGGGCCATCAGCAGCTCCCCCAGGCTGGACCCCTACCTGGCAGGCACAAGACCCAGTGTCTGCTCCCCGCCGGCTCCCAGCTCTGTGAGTGTGTGTGTGTCTGCGTGCGGGTGTGCACGTGTCCCCCATCTGCCCGCAGCCCAGCTTCAGACACGTGAAGCCGCTCACGAGGGAACCGTCAAGACAGCCTATGCTTAAGGAGGAGGCTGCCAGCACTTTCTGCCGGGAGCTAGGAGGCGGAGGGGGCGGGCAGGGCGAGACAGATGGCTGAGTGGGTGGGCTGCTTGGGAGCCCCAGCCTCCATTGGTGGCGGGGGGTGGGGGAGGAGACAGACCCAGCTGCCTCCCTTGCTGGGAGGGGTTCGGTTTGGAAGGTGGGAGACCACTGCCCCGGGCCATGGAGCTGGCGGGGCGGGGGGTGGGCACCGGGAGCCCAGGGCTGACCTGGGAGTGCCCGGCAAGGCCCACTGTGAAGGCTGGTAAAGGCGTGGCGTGGAGGCGGCTGGGTCACAGCTGTCCCTGGGGGGATAGCAGGCCGGGCTCCCCGCAAAGCACCAGCACCACCTCCCACCCCAGCTTGAGCTGCTCAGGCGGGACTGCAGGGCCCTGGCTCCGAGCGCCCCGCATGTGGGCAACTTGGATGCTTCCCATGTTCCCGAGAGCTGAGCTCAGAGCACAGGGGACCTCCCGTCTGAGTGTGAGAGTAGAGGGTCTCCAGCCTTGCACTCCCCAGGGTCCTGCCCCAAGCCCCCTCCCAGGACCCAAGGGACGGTTCTCCTGCTGCTGGGGCCCATGGGCTTGTGGATGGGAACCAGGCTGGCTGGTGGCCGGCGGGGTTCTCCCGAATGGTCTGCTCACTTCGCAGGATCGCTAGATGGCCCGTCGAGCGTGTGTGCTCAGTCATGCCCAACTCTCTGCGGCCCCGTGTGGTCTGTCAGGCTCCTCTGTCCATGGGATTCTCCAGGCAAGAATCCTGGGGTGGGCTGCCATTTTCTCCTCCAGGGGACCTTCCCGACGCAGGGATGGAACCCAAGTCCATCAGCAGCTTCCAAAACCACATCCTGGCGGCCAGGGGGCAGGGGGCGAGGCGGCTGAGGAAGGCAGGGCGCTGGGCTCAGTGGAGGGGTTCAGAGCTTGCGCTTTATTGACACGAGCATGGGGTCCCCAGGACTTGTCCCTCGGATGGGGAAACTGCCACCCGGTCTGGGAGCAAACCCCTTCACATGGAACACCACTTCTGGGAAGCCCACCAAGATACACACAGATAAACCCCTGGCAAGCTGCAGGCATATTTGGCGAAGCCGTGGAGCCTTGGTGGAAGAGCACAGGCCTCCGGGGGTGCCCCCAGGGCTGCAGCCGGAAGCAAAGCCAACAGCTCATCCCGCACAGGCCCACCTGATCCGTCTGGCTCGGGGCCGGGCCGGGCCCAGGAGCGGCGGAGCTGTCCACCCTCCCTGGGAATACTGCGGAAGTGGCCAGGACACCCGAGTCCACAGTGGAGCTCCGGCTGTGGGCCAAGGGTGACGGGGGCCGAGCACTGGTCTGGGAAGGCAGGGGCGCTGGCAGCCGACTCAGGGCCCCAGACTGACAACCTGCGCTTCCCCCGTGGGGCCTGCACCCTGCCGCTCTCCCAGGCCTGGACGCTGAGCGTGAGCTGCGTCGGGGGGCCCGCCTGCCCACCCCTGCTGGCTGGGAGCGGCCCCACTTGTAAAAGCAGGGCTCAAGGGCTCCGGCTGCCATCTTCCATACAAGGAAGGAGCCGGCATCAGTAGCTTGACTCTTCCCCATTCCACTTAATGTTAAGAATAGACACTAATAATACTTAATCGACCCTCCCTGTGGGTCGGGAGGGGCGCTAGTCCTGGCACTATTGCCCCCGAAGCCCCGGGCACCCCCCCGTCCCCGCTTCGGAATTCCAGTCTGATGCAGGGACTCGGTGCAACCCCAGTGCCCCACCAAGGGGACGTGGAGGCCCAGGGCCACATGGTGACCGAGGGACAGAGTGGGGCTTAAGGGGGGACCGTGGATCCCAGACTGGCGCCCCCGGTTGGGGCCTCTTAAGACCGTGGCCTGACGAGGCAGTGGGTCAGGACTCGAGGCCGACGGGGCCCAGTCCAGATTGCGGGGGGGGGGAAACGGCCCTGTGACCAGGCGCTGCAGGAGGCCAGCCCCTCTCGGCAGGAGAACAGGGTCCCCTTGACGACCCCTCCCTAAGCCCTGTGCCTGGAGGGCCGGGTGAGGGGGCGTCTGGCTCCCGGAAGGTGGGAACTTTGGGTTAGACGGAGCAACACCCGGTCACTTGGCCACCAAAGCTCTGAGCTGCGGTGACCAGCTTAAGAGGCTTCTACAGCGAGCCCGGGACCCCGCTCAGCCACTTCATTCCTGCTGCTGGGGCTGGGAGGTTGGGGGGCAACACTGAGCCCGAGAACGGGCCTCACGAGGGGCTGTCAGCCGCCTCCCTGGGCGAGGAGGGCCTGGGCTCCCTTAGTGTAGCCTATCCTGGGCCCTGCTGCTGGGGCTGGGAGGATGGGGGGCAATGCTGAGCCTGGGAACGGGCCTCATGAGGGGCTCTCAGCCGCCTCCCTGGGCAAGGAGGGCCTGGGCTCCCTTAGTACAGCCTATCCTGGGCCCTGCTGCTGGGGACTCTGACCTCCTCCATAGCACCGCGCAGCCCGGTCCCCAGTGACCTCTCAGAAACCTCGCCTAAGCCACCCGCCACGCTTCCCCACCCATCACGAGGATCCTACGTCCTCCGGCCAGAGGACCCCTCCACCCTCCGCTTCCAACTCCACACCGCTGGGTGGGGGGGGGAGCCAACCTGTCACGCACCTGCTGCAGCCTCAGAGCCGCAGGGGCCAGCGGGTGGCGGGCAGAGGGGGGCCGGGAGGCCCGGGCTGGAGCAGACTCCCCTCTGCTCTCCCGCTGCCTCCACAGGCGGTCAGGGCCCCTCGACCCGACGAGACCAACTCAACCGCGGACACGCCAGGCCCTCCAGAGCATCCCAGACAGGGCGCGGGCCTGCGGTCGGGCAGGGCTCAGGCCCTCGGCCTAGGGTCCGATCAGACAGGGGGACGGGACCAGGAGGGCGGGGAGGCAGGTGGGGCCACGGTCACCCCAACTCTGGAGCCCCAAGGTCTGGCCCAGGCCGTGCAAAGGCAGAAAGAACTCTGCCTGGGAGAATATTACACAAAATCACGCCGCTCTGACAAAACAATTCTGCTTTTGTTAAAAAAAGAAACAAAAAACTGAAGTGTGCTCCGGGCATCCATCCCAGCCCAGCGGCCCCAGCCTTGCCCACAGCTGTTTAAGGCACTTGAGTGGCTTATTTACACCACCTGGAAAAGTGTGTGTTTCAATCCTGATTGAGGGAAAAAACTTCAGTAATACTGCAAAAGGAGCATCTCACAAAAAAAAAAAAAAATCAATACTTAAAAGTTTCCTAGGGAATAAAATAAATGCGGAGCTCCGCTTAAGTTACATGACCCACGGAACCTCTTGGCACTGACAGAACATGGACCAGACCTGAAGTACTGCTTCTGAACGAAACGTTTCCCTGGGAGAAGACGACCACAGACGGGACACACGCGTCTTTGTCTAAGCGTCGCCTCCTTGGAGCACGAGCCGCGTGTGGGCACTGGGGAGGCCACGGGTGGGCGCCCCGTCTCTTTCCCGCGAGGCCCACCCTTCCCACTTGGGCACCCCCAAGCCCTCGGTCACGGGCAGTGTGGGGGGAACAAGAAACCTCTGCCGCTCCCTCCCGGTCCTGCCCGAGGACCCCCAGTGCCCGGCCACCCCGCGTGCGTGCAAAGCGTCTTTGGTGTGGCTGCGGCTGCCACCCGCGGCCTGGGTCCCGCCCCCAGCCCCCTCCGGAGCCGCCAACGAGGGCGAGCCGTGGGGGGCATCACCTGCCCACCTCCTGCCGGGTCCTAAGGCATCTGTGGGGGAGGATCACGGGGCGGGGGGCGGGGGTCCGCGCCTCCTAGCTTCTCCATGGCGCGTCAGGCTCCGGCTCCAGCAGGTCCCGGGGGTCCCGCAGGAAGACCACCACGACCGTGATGTTGTCGTGTGAGCCGCGCTCGCGGGCGGCGGCCACCAACGCCTCGGCCACGTGCAGCCCGCTGCCCCCAGGCCCCGCCAGGTGGCTGCGCACGAGGCCGGCCACCTCCTGGTGGGGGACCACGTCGAAGAAGCCGTCACAGGCCAGCAGCAGGTAGTCCTCAGAGCCCGTGAGCTCCCGTGAGGCCGCGTCCGCCTCCCCAGACACGTAGGGCTTCTGGAAGACGTCCCCTGGGCCGGGGGAAGGTGGTAGGGAGGGTGGTGAGGGCCGGGCACCCTGCTGCTGCCCTAACCTCGGGCCCTGGCCGGCCTGCGGCCACCCCACCTCCAACGCGAAGCGGCTCATGGGGCACACGGCTGCCAAAAGGTAGCTTCATGGGGTGCCAAGTGCTCCCGGGGGGGAAGGGGGCTTGGCCCCTGGGGGGGTGGAGAGGGAGCGGGGAGGAGTTTCTCAGCCCTGGGGGGAGGTCTGAGCCCCCAACCGAAGCCCTACACCCTGCGGCCCGGGAGGGGAGGGGAGGAGAGGGAATGCTACTTTGTTTTCAAGCTAGAAAAACGCCTCAGAGGCAGGAAAGCAGCCCTGTTTACAGGCCGCCCAGGAATCACCTTCCACCCTGGTGGCCCCGCCAAGGGCTTCCCCCGGTCCTCCCGAGAGACTGTCCTAAGGACTGTGACTTTAGCTGCCTTATCTGGCTGGGAGGCAAGCTTCTAAGGCATCTGCACCTGTGCCCCGGGTTCACCCGAGCCCCTCCACGGGTGACCCTGCCGTGCCGGGCCCCCTCCCACCCCCTGGCCTGCTTACCGATGGCTCTGGACACGGCCAGGGTCCCGTTGACCCTCCAGCAGTCCATGTGCGACACGAAACCGCCCAGGGCCTCGATGCGGTCCTTCTCGTCCTGTGGAGACAGCCAGGGTGGGCGGGGGGCTGGCGGGCGGGCGGTGGGGTTGGGGGTGCCCACGCTGCCTGAGGGGAGGCCAGCTGGCTTCCAAGGCAGCGCTGGGGACCGTGTGGCAGTGAGACGTGACTGACTACCTGAACTGCCCCACAGACACAGGCGCGGCCGAAGGTGCTGGTGCCAAGGCGGACACGCGCCGTCCCCCCGCAGCTTTTTGGGCTTGGGGAACACGCTCGCGGCAGCCAAGAGAGTCAGGGCCTGGGTCGATGCAGGGCTCTCTGCTGCCGTCTCTCAGGGGATACTGTGCCTCCCTGTCACAGGCCCCTGGGCAGGGCTGGGTGACGCTGAACAGGCCCTGGATGAGCTCTGGAGCCCCCAACCCCGGCCACTGCCTGGCTCCCCGGAGCTCCACCACAGGGCTCCAGGCCTGAGAGGACCGCACAGGCCCAGCCCAGCCTCGAGCCCTGAAACCTTCTCCGACCTTCAGAAGCTCCCTGGGCGGAGGCGTCTCCAATGGGGCTGCAGCCACTCCCCAGTGCCCACCCCGCAGCTCCCGTCTCTGCCCCACGCCCGGTCCAGGCAGGGCGTCCTGGGGCATGACCCCCCCCACCCCGCCAGCCCAGCCGCCCTCCCGCCCCAGCCTCCCTACTGCCGAGCCCAGAGCTGCTGGCTGGGGGGTGGGTTCCTGTGGCTCCACTCATCCAGGCCCTGCCTACCGCGTCCTCCCACAGCCCCCACCTTCCCAGCCTGCTCACCTGTGACCCCGCTTCTGAGAGGGCTCACCCATCACCTGCCACCTCCCCCCCGCAGAGCCCGGAGCTCCATGGCCCAGCCCTGCCCAGCTCATGGGTGTGTGTGTCTGTGTGAGTCCTGCAGCCCCTCCAGGCCCCGCAGCCCCAGGAGCATCGCGCCGCCAGCTCCCAGGTCCCAGACCAAAGGCACGGCGGCCCTCCCGGGTGCCAAGGACTCCGGACTTTGCATCCTTGAAGCCCAGACCCTTCCTTCTCGGCACCCGCCCCACCCCAGCCCCCGCCTTCACGGGAAGGCCCTCCCCACAGCTGCCCGATGTCTTCCCCGCAACCCAGCCCACAGCTTGCCCTCTGCTGGCCCCACTGTTCCAGAAGCTGCCAGGCTCCCTGCCAAGCGCATCCTGCCACGGAGCAGCAGCCGCTCCTGCTCCCCGGCCACCCAGCAGGCTGCACCTGCTGCAGGCTCCGGCTCAGCCTCCTCTGGCTCGGTCTGCGTCCCTAGCACCTCCTCCCGGCCCGCTGCCCTCGGGCCCCAGGCCGGGCCCCTCCTAGCTCGGACCCGACGCCACCCCTGCCTGAGGCCTCCCCCACAGCCCGGTGCTCCCCGCCTGTGCAGGAGAGGACTGCGAGTTAACCCTGCCTCCCGGGCCGCCTGCCAGCAGACACCCAGCTCCGTCCTGCAGCTCTGGGCTCCGTGTCGCCGAGACAGGGAGGGCTCTGTGAGATTCCTGGCGGCTAGCGCGCCCAGCTTTAGGGGACCCGCTGGCGCGAGGCGGGGCGCCCTTCCTCTGGAGGAGCACCCGGAGCCCCCGGGAGGACGGGGCCCCCTTACCTGCCGCTCGGGTCTGTGTGGCTCCATCAGCCTCACCGCCTGCCCCTGCTGCACCAGCAGAACCTGGGAGTCCCCGAGCCAGGCCACGTGCAGGGTGTTGCCCGCGATGAGCGCACACACGCCCGTGGTGCCACTCTGCAGCCGCTGCAGGGAGACGCACACGCGGGTGAGGAGGGTGAGGCCGCCGCCTGCCTGCGCCCACACCGGCCGGATGCCCACCCCGGAGCAGCGCTCAGCGGGAAACAGGAATGGACCCACACATGCGGGGACCCCGCGGCGAGACAGGGGCGCTCGCATCAAAACCGCAAGCACAGACGCTGCCGTCCATGGTGTCAGAAAGAGGAGAGCTGGGGGGTCCGGGGAGCAGGAACCATAAAGGCTGGAAGGAACTTCAGGAGTGAGGGGGAGTCTGTTAGCGTGGTGAGGGGCACACGGGTGCAGAAACACGTGCCAACACCCCCCAGCCCGTCCTCTGGACACGTGGAGCCTGTTATGTGTCAAGCACACCTCAGCAAAGGTGTGTCTGGATCATCACAGCCTCAGCTGAGCACCTGCCGCAGGGAACCCTTTCTCTCTCCCGGCTGGCTGGGCGCCCACCCCGGGGTCTCGGACCTGGAAGCTTTTCTGTTCAGATGCAAAGTCCAGCCTCGTTGATCCTGATGAGGGTCTGTGCTCAGACTGTGCCCCCTTCCCCACACACCCTCAGGAGCCACCGGGCTGTTTCCAGGTCTCTAAAACCATCTTAGCATCCACGCTGTGGGGCCAGAGGACCCTGAGGTGTGAGGGGAGGGGAGGTGGGCAGTCAGGTCAGGAGCCAGATGCACCCTTTTTTCTTTCAGAAACAAACGGCTTGTCCCTGTAGCTGCCGACGCGTGCAGCCCGGGGTGACCTGCCTGGGGGCCGGGGGAGGTGGTTACAATGCAAAACAGTAACACCTTGCTGTAACCCTCTGTCTCAGGGACCTGCACTCAGTCACCTCTCACGTCACCATGGCAGAAAGATCACACGTCGCGATGGAGGCTCCGATGACGGAGTTTTTAGCAACAAGGTGTTGTTCAAGGTGCCTGCTGTGCTCAGACACGACGCTGCTGCCTGCTTGCAGATGAGGGCAGAGTGCAAACCCAGCCTTTATCTGCACCGGGAACCCGACACGGTCACGTGACTTGCTTCATCGCTGCGCGCACATCGCGGAGGTGGTCTGGAACCAAAAACCCTCGAGGCCTCTGAGGTCTGCCTGCCCTGATCCTGTGCTTTGTTTTCTGCATTTTACGATGTGGTGACAACCGAGGGCCTTCTGAACCCTGAAGTGGGCCTTCGCTCCGCTCCCAGAGCTAACTCCTAGAGAGCGAGCGCTAGCGTCTCCCCTGGTCGTGCTCCGTGACCTGCACGAGCCAGCTGGTCTGAGCCCAGGTCCTCAGCCACTCCTGTGGCCCCTGGCCCAGGCCGTCTCCCACCCCCGCCCTGATGACTGGGGACCACCCCGTGGTCCAGAGACCCTGCTGCTGCTGCCAAGTCGCTTCAGTCGTGTCTGACTCTGTGCGACCCCATAGACGGCAGCCCACCAGGCTCCGCCGTCCCTGGGATTCTCCAGGCAAGAACACTGGAGTGGGTTGCCGTTTCCTTCTCCAGTGCATCAAAATGAAAAGTGAAAGTGAAGTCGCTCAGTCATGTCCGACTCTTAGCGACCCCATGGACTTCAGCCCACCAGGCTCCTCCGTCCATGGGATTCTCCAGGCAAGAGCACTGGAGTGGGGTGCCATTGCCTTCTCCAGGGGATCTTCCCGATGCAGGGATCGAGCCTGGGTCTCCTGCATTGCAGGCAGACACTTTAACCTCTGAGCCACCAGGGAAGCCCTAGGCCTAGTCAAACCATCTGATTCTCAGCTTGCCACTGTGCCTGCCCACGGGGGCCAGAGTGAAGGCTCGGAGGCACACCGTCCTCTGTCCCCTGGCCTTCCCGGCTGACCCGAGGGGCTTGCCGCGTGGCCCTGGCCTGGGGTGGCGTCGCTTCTTGAGAACCACGAGGCAGAAGCCCCGTGCCTGTCATCCTGCCGCCCCTGACAAGGACACAGTCTCGCTGCCCGCCCGGTGAGGCCCGCACACCCTCTGCTGGAGAGAGCCCCAGTGGGCTCCGGCCACAGGCCCTCGTGGCAGGAGCGAGAGAACAAGCCGGCCAGCGGGCTTCGGAGGGGGGCCCTTCCGCCGCCTTCCTTGCCGAGGCCCGCCCCCGGCGCCCCCACTCTGCGCTCACCTCTCGCCGGGCTTTCCAGAGGAACATCTCGTCGGTGCGGCGGAAGGCCGCGCGGAGGGCCTCCGCGGGGTCGGTGGCCAGCTCCGGCCGGTGGGCGGCGACCGCGTGCACCTGCACCGACGCGTACCTCGCAGCGTCCGCTCCTCCGTGCCCGTCGAACACGGCGAAGTAGGCGCGGTCCACCGAGTCCTGGAGGCGAGCGCGGGACGGGTCACGGCCTGGCTGGCCCCGGGAGGCCTCCGCCGGCCCTCGGCTCTGGCCTGGGGCGGAACCGGGCGCTGGGGGACGGGGGTCTGGTGGGACAGCAGGCCCTTGCCACCAGACAGGCTGCGAGGGCGGGGGCGTGTCTTGGGGAGGACGACGCGTGTGCGGGGGTGGGGGGAGCGCGTGGGCAAGGGGAGAGGCCCCAGGCGGCTCTGGGGGCTGGGCGGGGCGGGGCCGATGACCCCGGCTGCCCAGACCCTGGGGGCAGGTGCTTATGGCAGCCGTGGGCGTCCAGGCAAGCGCGGCCCCGCTGGGCACCCGCGCCCGGACCCACCCCGGGCCCCCACTCACCTCCAGGCCGAAGAGCAGGTTGAAGGCGGGGAGGCACACGTGCCGGTCCTCCATCCTGCGGCGGGCGTTGCGGATGGCGTGTGCGGAGACCAGCCACTGCCGCTGCGGCGCCTGGGCCGCCGCCGGCACCTGCTGCCACTGGCCGCACGCCTGCCAGAGGCGGTCGAAGAGGCTCCGCGCCAGGCCCGCAGCGTCCAGCACTGAGGGGCAGGACGGGGGAGCTGTTAGGGAGGCGCCCCCGCGGACCCCGGGGGGCTCCCTGAGCCCACCCTCCCGCCTCCGGAGACCCCTGGAGTCCATCAGCCTGACTGCCCGGCCCCCTGGGCACAGCAGCCTAACGACCCCCGCTTACAGCCTGGGTCACTAGCTACCACGTGCGTGGTTTGCAAACAGTCACACAGGAGTCCCCGCCCAACAGCATAGCTGCACCCCCAAGGAAAGATCCAGAAACGCGAGGATAATTTAAGAACAAGTACAGGACCACTAATAACTGTGCATTAATGAAAAACAACATAATCCAACGACAGAGAAAATTACGGTCTGCTCTCCCAATGAAGCTTTAAGCTGCTATTAAAAATGACTTATGTGTAAAAAGCAATTATCCTTCAATAAAAAATTAAAAAATAAATAAAACTGTTAAAAAAAAAGATTTATCACGTCCGAACTCTTTAACTGCCCTCCAGCCCAGCAATGGCACCCCGGGGCTTGTATCCCAGAGAAACAATGGCTAGCACAGGAGACCGGGGCGGGCGGCCCCGGCAGTCTCATCTGCAACAATGGAGAGCAGGAATCGGCCCACGCGTCCTTCGACGGGTGAACGATAAATTCTCACATACAGCACCCGGGACAGCGGTCAGTGGAAGGAAGGAAGGAAGGAGCTCCTGACACACAGATCTGGTGACTCTCCAGGGAGCCCCGCTCAGTGGAAAAAGCCAATCCTGCGTGACATCACTTATCTGCATCCTCAAATGATACGAACATAGGGATGGGTGGCTGTCCGGGCTTAGGGTGGGGGCAGTGGAGTGTCAGGGTGGCCATAGTGATAAGGCAACATCCGTGTGGGATGAAACTACGTCAAGATCCTAGTTGTGCTATTTCATCGGTTTCCAAGACATTACCACTGGTGGACAAAGATGCGAGGGTCCTCCGTGCCATTTCTCACAACTGAGGCCACGGCTACCCGAGTGCCAAGTTTAATTTTAAAAAGTTCAGGGATGGGACAGAAATCGACTTTGCGAGCATATGAAGTACTTAGGTCACAATCTTTTTAAAAAATCGACACTGAGGGGGAAAAACGTGAACATGGGAGACACAGGGGAAATCCCACGTTTGATCACGAGGATGTGAAAGCCTGCGACCCACGTGGGCCCAGAAGACTTCAGAGGCAGGACAGGACGTCTGCAGGCGGGGCCCCGGGCCACGCCTTTCCTTAGGGACACATTTTTGTGCTCTCCCCATTTCCCACTGCAACCAGAGGCTTTTTTTTTTTTTTTCCGGCTGTGTGGGGTCTCAATTGCTGCATGTCTGATCTAGTTCTCTGACCAGGAATCTACCCAGGCCCCCTACACGGGGGCTGTGGGGGGGTCTCAGCCACCACCGGGAATCCCAGGAGCTGGTTTTCAAGAAGGTCCATAAACCTCTGACACTTTCCCTTGTAGAGTGGGGCCAAGCTCGCTGGGGCGGGGCGGGTAGAGGCTCCCCCTGCCCTGCCACACGGTCTCGGTCACACCTCTGCCCGTGGCGGGGGTTCTTAGAACTCCTGAGCGACGCCAGTTTTGCAAGAATGGCTTCAAGGGACAGACTTGCCTGCGCTCCACTCCCCTGACGGGGGTGAGCTGATGAGCGCAGCGGGCCCAGGCCTGCTTGGAGGGCGGGGCGGGCTGATCCAGTGGCCCCTGCCCCAGCCCTCGGAGACCCCAGGCCTGGCTCTAGGTGGTCAGCCACACCAGCTCCTTCCCGCCAGCAGGTGGTGTTGGCTTCCCGGTGAGGGGGCAGGGGTATTTGTGGGCCGGCTGGCAGAGGACAAAGGCGGTCTTTCGCCCTCCCGCCAGCCTCAGGCAGGAATGCGTGGCGGGGCTGGGCTGGAATGCGGCTGGGCAGGGAGCCAGGGAAAAGGCCTTGTGTGTGTGTGTGTGTGTGTGTGTGTGCACGCGCGCGCGCACGTGTGTGTGTGTGTGTGTGTGTGTGTGTGCGCGTGCATGTCTCTCTGCCCTGCATGTGGCACTGAACCTGGGGGTAGTAATTATGTCAGGCGGTGGAGGTGCCAGGTAACCCTCCGTAACGTATCATGGAGCAAACCGATGCACCGTACGCTTACATTACACAATGTCACATATCAGTTGTGTATCAATTAAAAATAAGGACGAAGCAGCAGTGGGCCAGGAAGGAGCACGAGTGGAGAGACCTGTGGAGGCTCTTGCCGCCTGCCCCCTGGGGCTGGACCCCGGGACCGACCCTGTCTCCCAGCAGGCATCCCACCTGACCCAGCACCCTCTCCAGCCCGTGAGCACTCAGGAACCCAGCCCCTGCTCAGACCTGGCCCAAGGCTGCAGTCCTGCTGCAACTTGAGCCGACTTCCACCCCAGGGGAAAAAACTACCAGGAAAGCGATAAAAGAGCCTGCAAAACAGGGCCTGCCTGATGGGAGGCTCACTCCTGGCCAGGCTCCTCTGGGTGCGGACTGCAGGCTCGGGAGCAAGGCACCAGCTCTCAGGGACCCCCGAGTCACCACCCGACCGGGTTCCCAAACCTTCGCAGCTGAGACACGGCCCAAACTCTGAATTTGCTACCCCTGGCCCCTGCGGCTGCCCCGAGGTCGGCTCCCACGTCACCACCCACGTGTCGTGACGAGGCGGGAGGGCAGGCCCACGAGGGCTGCCCCGGACAAGGCTGTCCACTGCCCAGGCCTCGGGGCTCGTCCTCCACGCCGGGGAGGCCTCTCCTGGGGCTCGGACTCTGCCACCCTGTCATGAGCCCGGCACTGCCCGCCAGCGAAAACGGGAAACGAAAGGCAGCCGGGCGACCCGACGCTGCCCTGCGGCCTGCCTCCCGCTGAGCCCCGAGCCCCGAGGGGGGACTCACGCGTCACAGGGGCCTTCTCCTCCGCTCCGTCCCCGTCTTCCTCCGCCTGCTCCGGTAGCTTCCTGAATTCAGAGAGGTCTGCCTGCAGCAGCTGGGAAACCGCCTCGTGGGCCAGGCAGGCGGCGAGCGACGGCGGCGCGCTCCTGGGGGCGGGGGCCTGGAGTTAGGGCCCCGGGGTCTGCCCCGCGCTCCAGGGACAACCCCGGCCCCCTTGCCCTTGGGGAGCTCCTTCCGGAAGGAGTGGCGGCTGCTCGCACGCCACCAGTGGCCACGATGGGCAGGTGGACCTCGGGTCCTTGGGAAGCTGGACGGCCGTCCAGGCAACACCATTTACGGGGTGGTGCCTCACTGGGGCTGGGAGGGGACCCACGGACGTGTGAGCTGAGTCTACTGGACAAACGGCCCGACGTCCAGCCTCAGACGGCTCCCGGCCCCCAATGCCAGCCGGGGAGCCCTGCGGGTTGGGGAGACCTACGAATCAAGTCGTGTGTGTTACAGATTCTAAGCCCAGCGCCCTGGAACGTGACCAGGCGTGGAAGCTGGGCTGTTGCAGAAGCCACTAGTTATGAGGAGGTCCCCCGGGGGAGGGGGGCGCCAATGCCATCATGCTGGCGTCCTTATTGAAGGGGGACCCTGGGGCAGAGACCCCAGGGAGACACCCTGCGAAGGTGAAGACTGGCGAGCAGACCTCCAGCTGAGGACTGCCAGCAATGGTCGAGGGACCGGCTCCGCAGACACACGGCTCCGGGATCCCGGCCTCCGGAATCTCAGGACAGCAGGGCTGCTGTTGAGGCTGCCTGGCCCCCGGCGCTTTGTCGTGGCCCCCCCAGTAGAGGGATGTGGGGAGCGCCACACCCACGGGCTGTGAGCCCCTTCATGCGGGGTCCCGGGGCAAGCAGGCCATCCAGGCAGCTGGCGAAGGGGTCTCTGGGGAGGCAGCTGCCAGGCTGACGGGGTCATGCCCTTGCTGTGGCCGGAGGAGGGACGTGACACCATCTGACCGGGCCTTTTCAGGCCAGCCTGGCCTCGCTGCGGAGGGCGGGGCTGGCGGTGGACCGGAGGGAATGGGGCCGGTGTGTGGGGCAGGGGACTGGGTGGATCCGCACGGCGTCTCAGGCTCCCCGGAGGCAAAGAGGCCTAGGGCAGGTGGGCACGTGGTCTGGGTGGGCGAACGGGGTGGGGCAGAGCGGCTGAAGGGGGCTGGGGAAGTGGGGTGACGCCAGGGGTGCCACCTGGGGCCGAGTCTGGGAAGCGAGACCTGGCTGGCTGCTTCCCAGGGCAGACAGGCTACGCAGAGCTGAGGATCAGCGCAGGCCGGGGTGGGGAGCAGCAGGCGACAGGAAGCCCCCGGGCGGGAGAACAGGGTCATGCGGGGGCTCTGGGACGCCTGGGGGTGGAGAGAGCGAGGCCAGCAGGAAGCACTATGGGCAACTCTCACCACGGGCTCCGGGGCATGCGGGCGCAGCCCCCAGACTCGGGGACCAGATCCCACCATGGAAGGTCCCAGCTCTCTGGGCCCCAGGCCTGGCATCCTGGCCTGTCCCCGAGGCCGGGCACGCCCGAGGGTGGCTGGACACTGTACCAGGCAGAGCCAGGCCCTCCCGATGGCTGGGCGGGTGTGCTCCTCTGGGCACTCCAGGAGTCTGCAGAGGGCCTGAGGTTGCTGCTGGGATGAATCTGTCGTCTTTTTTTTTTAAATGAGAGGCTGACTCAGGGGCACAGCCTCTGGAACCTGCCTTTGAAAAACAACCAGCCAAGATCCCCTTGGCCCCGTGGGGATTTCCTGCCCGGAGCTGGGCCTTCCCTTTTCACGGTGGGGAGAACTGTGCCTCCGCTCCCCGGTTCCCAGTGCGGGGCGAGGCCGCAGAGGCTTCCTGCGCCCTGGAGTCCTGGTGGGGGGCAGGGAGGTAGCTTCCAGCCTTGGGGGCAGGACAATGCCTGGCCATGGGCCCCGCCCGGCACCCTGAGGCCACCAAAGACTCCAGCGAGGATGCCTCACGACAGGGACCAGGTACCCAAGAAACGAGAATCGCTCTGGTCCACCACTTGGCAGGTTTCCAGGGAGCCCGCAGGCCAGCGGCAGAGATGAAACTGCCTCTCGGTGACTGCGGTGTCCGGCCCACCTGGGGGCCTGAGACGTGACCCCTGACGACAAGGAGGAGGAGGAGGCTCTCCCGCAGGATCCATTCACAGCCGGCACACTCGGGCCTGGACAGCCTAGCGCCTGCACACGAGCTGCTGGGGTATGCGGGTGGGCGCTAACCACCAGACAGGACACACACGGGGACACCTGTGTCTGCACAGGAAAGAAATGCTGGGGAAGGGCAAGAGTAATGGAAAGCTGCTGCTGCTAAGTCGCTTCAGTCATGTCTGACTCTGTGCGACCCCATAGATGGCAGCCCACCAGGCTCCCCGTCCCTGGGATTCTCCAGGCAAGAACACTGGAGTGGGTTGCCATTTCCTTCTCCAGTGCATGAGAGTGAAAAGTGAAAGTGAAGTCGCTCAGTCGTGTCCGACTCTTAGCGACCCCATGGACTGCAGCCCACCAGGCTCCTCTGTCCATGGGATTTTCCAGGCAAGAATACTGGAGTGGGGTGCCACTGCCTTCTCTGGTAACAGAAAGCAAGTGCATTCAAATGGCTGGAGGGATTTCCCTGCTGGGGGCCTGGGTGCTATCCCTGGTCAGGGAACTAAGATCCCGCAGGTCGTGTGATGCAGCCAAAAAAAAAAAAATAGCTGGAAAATATGAGACTTTAAAATAATGGATTTTAAGATCCTTCGAGGGGCGCCCCTGGCTGCTCAGTGGTAGAGGATCCACCTGCCCACGCGGGAGACGCGGGTTCGATCCCTGGCGTGTGAAGCGCTCACGTGCCGGGGAGGATAACCAAGCCCCCGTCAGCACGACTACTGAGCCTGTGTTCTAGGGCAACTATTGAAACCCACACGCCCTGGAGCCCCTGCCATAGCAAGAGAAGCCCGTGACCCGCAACCAAGGGCAGCCGCCACTCGCCACACCTAGAGCAAAGTTTGTGCAGCATGAAGGCCCAGCACAGCCAGAAACAATGAAAACACTTTTTAAAAAATCGTCCAAGGTTGAGAATTCCCTGGCGGTCCTGCGGTTAGGACTCTGAGGTCTCCCTGCGGAGGGTGAAGGTTCGATCCCTGATCGGGAACTGAGACCCAGCAGGGCTCTGGGGCTGTGACCCCTGACCTCTCACCCGTCACCAGCATCAGGCCTGCACTGTTTGCCCGCGTGGACCCCTCAGGCCGCCCCCTGTCTCCGGCTCAGGCCCCTCCCTGGGCAAGAGGGCCCTCGTGCCCTGCTCGGGCCCGGCAGAGACACTGGCCCAAGGGGCTGCTGCGGGCTTGGGGCCCTTGGACGTCCCTTCTGCCCCCCGAGCGCCACTGTGGTGCCCGGCCCCTCGTCTCGCCCCCGTCCAGCCCCCCGAGCCCCAGTGTGGCCTCAGCCGGCCCCAGGCCCGCTGCTCCCCTGGTCGGCCTCTGAACTAGTTCCCCAAAGTAAGAGCAGCCAGCCTCAGCCTCTGCACGCGCCACGTGGACAGACAGGCCACCCGCGCTTTCGGACCCGCGGCCGTCACGCCCCCGCGGCCGACTGGCCAGGCCTCGGGCCCCTCCCAGCAGGCGCCGGGGGCTCAGGGCGGGAGCTGGCCTGCCTCCAAGGACACCGAATGCCAGCACTGGGGGTGACCAGTGACGGGCGAGGCCCCTGGCCCCCCAGCCCCGCCCACCACCCTCTCCCTTGGGCGGCCCGCGGCTCTCCGTCTCCCCGACTCCCGCTAAGCTGCTCATGCCCCTCTGACCTCATCTTCACGGCCTGGGCAGCGGGGACACGGCCACTGCCGCTCGCGTCTTGGTGGCTAGGGGACAGTGTGGCCTCGGGCCAGCCTCCGAGCCTCTGCCACCCCGCCCATGAGGGGCTGGACCAAGTCCCTCGGGAAGGCCCGCCGAGGCCCCCGGTCAGAAGGGGAGCCTGTCGAGGAGCAGGGCCCCCAGCCCCGCGGGACGGGCGCCCTTACAGGGAGGGCAGACACAGACAGGCGGGAGAACGCCAGTGGGCACTCATGGCTGGGCTGGGGATGTGTTGACAGGCCAGGTCGCATGCGGGGCCAGGCCACACCCGCAGCTGAGACCAAGGTTGGGGGCGGCCCTGACTGCTGGCCTCTTGGAGCAGAGACGGGGCCCTTGCGTCAGTTGAAGCCCCCCACCACGCAGGCTGCAGCCCCGGAAACCGAGGTGGCTGGCGGGGGCAGGGGGGATGCCCATGTGAACATGACCAGGAGTGAAGGTACAGGGGAAGCCGACGGGGCGGGTGTCACGGTCCTGCGCCCCCCCCCCCGCACGCTGGGTTCCTCTTGGGGTCACGGTCCTGCGCCCCCATCCCGCACCCACACCGCTCACCGGCTGTTTAGGAAGCCCAACGCCAGCTCGGCCAGCTCGCCCTCCGCCTCCTCGCGGCTCAGCACGGGCCCTGGGGCCTTCCATGGCAAGGGGCTCTCCGGGCTCAGCGGGGCCGGGAAGTCACGGAGGAGCGCCTCCAGGAAGCCGGGGGTCTCCTCTGCCATCTGGCCGCTCTGCTGCAGGGTCTCCGCAGCCATGCCCAGGGCATCGGGGGGCAGGGGAGCTGCTGCCGGGGTCCTCGGTCTTCGCTCTGCGGGGAGACGTGAGGGTCAGCACCTGGGGCTGGGGGTGACCGTGCCCACGCTCTGCAGTGCTGAGTGCCCATTTTTTCCTGCTTCCCCTTGGAAGCCGGGGCCACACCGAGACCGGGGCTCCAGGCGGAAGGGCAGGGCCACCCAGCTTTGGACGCAGTTAGTTCTGAGGCCCACGTCTGAGGGACAAACCCTGATGAGGGACCTGGGGGGCCCAGAGGGGTGACTCCTGGAGACAGCGCCGGGGGGCGGGCAGAGGGCTGTCCGGCTGAAAGCGGAAGGTGTGCTCCTGGTGAAGAAGAGCCTGAGCAGGCAGAGGCAGGCAGACGCGGCCTGTGGCCTGTGAGGGGGTCTATGTGCCCTGGGCGTCCGCCGGAGGCAGTGCCGTGGTCAGCAGAGGGCTCCCCGGAGACACTCGGGGCCTGGAGGGGCTGGTCAGGCCGTATGTCCTCCCAGGAGTCGTCCCAGGCCTCCTGAGGCTTAAAGGGGTTGACCACAGGCTAAGTGTCTCCAAACATCCCGACTGTCCTGCGCTTCAAACGGCTGGAGGATGGGGGACCCGGGGCCCCCAACCCTCTGAGGACAGAGCTCCTAACTCCGCATGAGTCTCCGGGAAGGACGGCCGGGTGTGGGCTTGGGGGAAGGGAAGCAGGACGGGTGATGAGCGGAGGGTCTGGGGGGCAAAGGGAGCTAAGTCAAGAAACACGTGGAGCAGGAAGTGGCAACCGTCTCCAGCAGTCTTGCCTGGAGAATCCCATGGACAGAGGCCATACAGACCATGGGGTCGCAGAGAGCTGGACGCGACTGAGCGGCTGACAGACACACGCCTGATCTATGGCACTGTCTACCCTTGAGTAGAGACGTGTGTCTTTATGAGACGTATGAAGACGTGACTTACGACGCACTTTCGTATTTAAGGAGAGAAGGTTCTGGGGACAGGGGCACACTCATGGTCACCCCTCCCGTCTGCTCACCAGTGAGGGAACACAACGCAGCCCCCGGCCGCAGAAAGCACACAGGGGCACAGACGAGGGACGGAAAATAAAGTGTGATCAGGTCAGAACGGGCGGGACACTGCGCTGCACCCACAAGGGTGTGACTGAGAGCGGAGGGGACCCGGAGAGGCCAGGCCGGCCTTCTACCTTGCTGCCCGGGGCTGGGGGGGGGGGGCGGCCCGGCCTGGGGACACTGTTCCCTGGGCCTGGAGCCCGCTCCCCTCCAGCAGCGGAGCCTGCTCTCCGCTCTGTGCCCAGCACCCCTTGCCCGAGCATGACTGCCCGTGCAGGGTGCTGGCTCGCAACTCTCACAGCCTGGGACCCAGGCCTGAGGACCTGCGGGGGGCATGGGAGGGACCCTGGGCTGCCAGCCCCCGCTGCCACCTGCTCGACCCATCTGGCCCAGCGTGGTCCGTGGCCAGGCCCTCCTGCTCTCGGCACGAGTCCCCCCCGGCACTGCTTGCAGTGGGAGTAATGGTGCTGCCACCTAATACCCGCAGGGGACCAGTGGGGTGCAGCCCACTAAGGGTGCTCTGGCCCCTCCCCTCGCCCCCAGACGTGGATCTACGACCCCCAGCTTACAAGGCAGGGCTGCGAAGAAAGGGCCAAGTCAGCCACCCCGGGTCCCAGTCAGGAGCCCGGCTGCCAGCCCACTCCTGGGGGCTGCTGGCCTCGGGGGACCGGCCGCGCCCAGACCCCTCCCTCATTGCTGCGCCCGAGACCCGAGCGCTCTGCCCCACCTCAGCCGAGAGCCCCACACTGACTCCCGGGCTCTACGGCCCTTCTGCTTGCACCTGACTTATCACACTCCATTCCTCTTTTTCCTTTTTCCATTTGAAGTATCTGCTTTCCTCTAGTTTACCCATCGCGACTTAGAAGCTCACTCGCACGTCTGCAAGCCTGGGTTTTTCTCCGCCACGTGGACAAGGCAGCTTCCTGTGGAGCCCTGCTTGACTTCCCGACAGGAAGACAGAAAGAGCGCCTTAGGAAAGGAAAACCGCACCGCTGTTACAAAAGGATCATCTTCATTGTTACAAACTTTTCTATAAACGGAGAGTCTTATTTCTTCATTCAGATACAGCCACTGAGAAGAGTATGGCGGAAACCTTTCCAGATCTTTTCCTATGCACACATATTCTTCTTTTTGATACATTTAAGGTAAAGTAATGCGTATGCTCAGTCACGTCTGACTCGCGGCCCCATGGACTGTAGCCCGCCAGGCTCTTCTGTCCACGGGACTTTCCAGGGAAGAATCCTGGAGTGGGTTGCTACTTCCTACTCCAGGGGATCTTCCTGATGCAGGGGTCGAACCTGCATCTCTTGTGTCCCCTGCATTGGCACGTGGATTCTTTACCACTAGTGCCCCGTGGGAAGCCCAAGGTAAAGGATACATAACACACAATTGATCATTTCACTCATTTTAAGTGTGGGTTTCCCTGATGGCTCAGTGGTGAAGAACCCACCTGGCAATGCAGGGGACGAGGGTTCGCTCCCTGGGTTGGGAAGATCCCTTGGAAAAGGAAATAGCAACCCACTGCAGTATTCTTGCCTGGAGAATCCTCATGGACAGAGGAGCCTGGTGGGCTACAGTCCACGGGGTCAGAAAGTCAGACACGACGTAGTGACTAAACAACACGTGACATACAACTCACCCTTCTACTCATTCCCAGTGTACGGTTGTGCCGCATTAAGCACACTCACGTGCAAGCACCACCCTCACCGGATTGACTTCTCACCAGATTGTAACCTGGGCCCCCACCCCCACCCGGTCTCCGGGTGTAACAGCACCTCTCTGCAAGGCCCCTTTGAACACAGCGGCTGGCAACGTGAGGGCAGAGAGATGGGTGTCAGCTTCCTCCCAACACCCTCTGCAGGTGCAGCCTGAGGCCTGGCCCCTTAAAAGAGGAAGCTAAGACACTCGGTGGAACGTGGTGGGCAGCAGACAGGTCCTACAGGCAGTGCTGGCTTCGGGCCACATCAGAAAGGAATTCTAGGAATGAACCTGCAGAGGTTGGCCTAGCAGTCTGTGTCCTGTTTACCTCTCACAACTGTGCTGACTACAAGCCTGGACTCAGTCACGCTGCAGTGAAGAAACAGGCTCCGGGAGGGCCAGCAAACCCCCACGGAGGCCGCACAGGCAGGAAACGGCCAAGCCGGAATCAGGTGGGGTCTTCCCGGCCTTTGTCATTTCCAGCTCAGTGGCAGGAGAAAAGGACTTGAAATGTGACCATTGGCCGGATATGGCACAAAAGGCAGAAATGAGCCTCCAGCTCTCCGGGCCGCAGCCCCAGGGGGCACAGCTCACCCTCGAAGCTTGCCCCGGGGGATGTCAAGAGGATGTGTGTCACTCAGCACGTGTCACTAACGGTACGGTCCCCGCTGGATGCCAGGCTGCGGGGCGGGGCCGGACAGGCCTGGCACGAAGACCCCCTACTACGGCCAGCTGCCACTCCCCTGCTGCAGACAGGCTGAGGAGCCGGCCTGAAACCGCGCAGCTGCAGCGCGGGGCCTGCGCCTGGGGTTCCAACGCACACGCGTCTGGCTAACGCCGCTGCACGCAGCCCGAGCGCTGGCTGGAAACGGAAACACTCAGATATACTCGGGGCCGGGCCGGGATCGGGGGGCGCCGGGGCGCAGCTGCGGCCCGGCAAATGTCTGGGGGGCTTGCTGGGGTAGGGGTCTGGGCCGGTGGTGCGGAGGGGAGCGCGGGACTCCGGGCAAGCTGGCACATCGCGCCTCGGCCCCTCACTGCGCGCCCGGGCTCGGCCCGGAGACCCCCGCCGCACCCCGGGTGCGCAGCCCCCAGGCCCGCTCCGGGCCCCCGACCCCGGGGTCCTCGCCCTGCAGCCCCCAGCCCCTCGCGGCCCCCCAGCCTGCCCTTCCGTCCCCGCCGGCGCCCCCCCTGCCGTCAGCACCCTGCCCCGCGCCCCGTGCCCCCCTATCCCCGCCAGCCTCACCCTCCGCCGCGCTGCCGCCGGGCGCCCGCCTGCCCGCCGCTCCGGCCGGCCCCGCCCACTTCCCGTCCGGCCGACCCCGCCCACTCCGCCTCCGGCCGGCCCCGCCCACTTCCCGTGCGGCCGTGGCGCAGGCGCAGTCGGGCCCGGGCGGGCGGTGCCGGCCTCTGCTGCCCCCTGGCGGCCGCGACTGCAGGGCGCGCGTCTCCTCCGCCCTCGGCGGCCGGGTAGGTGGACAAAGCAACCCCTTCCTCGGGGGCGCCCAGACACTGCAGCTTGCGCAGTCGAGAGCGGGTCAGCGGCTGGTGGAGCGGGGCTGCCACCTGACACTGCCTGGGGCTCACGACCCTTTTGCTGCTAAGTCACTCCAGTCATGTCCGACTCTGTGCGACCCCATAGACGGCAGCCCACCAGGCTCCGCCGTCCCTGGGATTCTCCAGGCAAGAACACTGGAGTGGGTTGCCATTTCCTTCTCCAATGCATGACAGTGAAAAGTGACAGTGAAGTCGCTCAGTCGTGTCCAAGTCTTAGCGACCCCATGGACTGCAGCCTACCAGGGTCCTCTGTCCACGGGATTTTCCAGGCAAGAGCACTGGAGTGGGGTGCCATTGCCTTCTCCACACGACCCTTTTAGGGAACCTTAATTTCGTATTGCCACAAACTGACACACACTTAGTATCTGCAGGCCTGGAGGTTGGAAGCCTGCAGGGTCTCAATAGCCTACATTCAAGGGTCATCAGGGTGCCCTTCCTTTCTGAGGGGTCTAGAGGAGAATCTGTTTTCCCTCCTTTTTCAGCTTCTAAATGCCCCGCCTCTTTTAGCTCATGGTTCCCCCACCTTCAGAGCCAAGAAGACCCTTGTGATGACCTTGGGCCACCAATGACCCAGGGTAATCTGTTCTAAAGTCAGATGAGCAGCCCTAATTCAGCCTACAGCCCCGATTCCCCTTCACCATGTCATCTAAGAGCAGCACAGTCCCAGGTCCCAGGATCTGGACATCTTCAGGGGGCCGCTTCTCTGCCACCCTAGAGACCAAGGGAAAAAACTGGGGGCCACGCTACCCGGCTTGTGGTATACTAGTTTCCCGACCAGGGATCCACATTGTCCCTGGCCATAGAAGTGGGGAGTGCTAACCACTGGACCGCCACGGAATTCCCTGGAAGTATTTTAACACCGAACAGATAAACACTTAGGTCAAAGAAAATGTTTTAATATATAATATGTTCATCTTTATATCAATGCAGTTGTAAAGCATAATATAAACTTTTTTGGAAGAGCCCTCAAAAGCCCCAGTGGGGCCCTGCCCACCTAACCTCCAGGTGGGCACACAGCCTGTGTCTGGCCCAGGAACTAAGATTTACTAACAGGTGTCTGGAGAACTAACAGTCAGGTGATTTGGAAGGACAGAGACTGGGTAGGGGGTAGATCTAGAAGGCAGTGGGCATCTGGGCAGAGAAGGCAGGGTGGGCTCCCTTCTCCTCAGGCCTTCCTAGATTCTGTAACCCAACCCCACCCGCAAGTCAGCATGGTGACCCCAGCAAGGCCTGTGGTTAAGTGCTTATGACCTGTGACCTTCTATGTTCCTTAGCTGCCCCATATCCAGTTTCCATATCAGGAGACCAAGAGCTGCCAATCTACCCTCCAAGGGCTTCTGTGAGACCCTGCCTCAGTGTTTCTCAAAGTGCACCCAGAACAAGTGTGAACTGAAGTTTGAGGACCGCTGTGTGGGTGAGGAGATCCTGTGATAGCTGACATCCCATGGGCCTCCCGGGCAGGCCCACACGAGACCCCTCAGCACTGATGCCCCCCGAGGCCAGCGCCGGGAGGTGGTGGGGAAGCGAGGCATGCTGCCTGGCTGGGAGCATGCCTCTTCCAGAGGGCACAGGGCCAACCCCACGCCCAGGAGTTGACCGGCCCTGTGGCTGGTGTCAGCTCCTCCTGGCCTGTTTCTGCCCGCCTCAGCTCTAGCCCTGGCTCTACCCTTGGGAAAGGAGCCTCCCACGTCACCCGGCCCGAGCTCCAGCCTCTCGGGTGAACCTACGACCCGGGCAGCAGTCTGTGTCTGGGCAGCAGTTCCGACCTGCCCCGCATGCAGGCTTGGGGAGGCGTTTCACAGGGCCCGTCAGGGGGAGGCCTGGCACGGGGTGATGTCCCAAGGTGGACATGTGGTGGGCTGAGGTGGGCGCCCTCATGGGAAGTGGGCAGGTGACCTGTGGCCTGCAGGTGGTGTGGCTCCCCATGACCCTGCTGTCTGCTGCCACCCGCCTCTGTCTGAGGGGACACGTTTGAGAACGGGAAAGGGAACAGGCCTGGGGGGCCAGGGTCACATGCGGGCCCCCCACACACAGACCCACCCGGTGGGCAGTGGGTGGAGTGGGGGCCCACACCCAGGGAGGAGTCCCCCCAGCCTCGGGCAGTGGGGCGCTCAGGCACCCTGACGGGTGCACACCGCGCCATGGCTCACGCTGGAACGCGGCGGGCGCCCTGCACCGGGCCTGCTCCTGATTCTGTGCAGCGGCCCCCTGCAGGACTTGGGCAGGGCGGGCACTCGGGGGCGTGTGCAGGACGAGGGAGAGGCAAGGGGATGGGCACAGCCCTGCAACAGCAGGTAAGGGTGGGGAGCCGCTGGCTCTGCAGAGACACCGCATTTAATGATCCCCGTGGCCTGCCGGCCGTCACACGAAGTAGGCAGCCAGGGCTGACATCTTGTCCTTGGGCCGCCGGGGGCCCGCCTTCCCCGCCGGCCTCCGGCCCCGGCCCCGGCCCCGGCCCTGCCTCCGCCCAGGCCCGCGGTGCATGGGGTGGCAGGAAGCTGCGTGCTTCAGCTCCACCAGCTCCTGGAAGACTGGGTCGCAGAAGACGCAGCCCGTATGCTGCGTGCCGTCGCCGGGCAGCGGGGACTTGGCCTTGTTGAAATCCACGTCCAGCAGCGCGGCCTCGCAGGAGGCACACGTCTCGGCGGACACGCGCACGCGGTGGGCGTTCTCAAAGCAGTGGGCCACCACGCTGCACCTGTTGCAGGCCACGCGCCACTTGGGGCCAGAGGTGGGGTCGAGCACCAGCACGCCGCTCTCGCACTCCACGCACTGGCCGATGCCCAGCATGCTGAGCGAGTGCTGGCAGCTGGGGTGCGTGCACTCGTTGCAGCCCGTGCCTGTGGGGAGGGCCGCGTGAGGCGCGCACCCACCCCCACCCACGCTCACCCTGGGCTCTGCTTCTTCAGGCTTCCCTGACTCTCACCCCCCCCCAGCGCTGAGGTTCCCCCCCCAGCGCTGAGGTTCCCGGAAGGGCATCTGGGCGGCCTCCGGTCAGGTCCACCCCCTTCTGTCTCACTCCCTGGGGCCCAGGTGGGACCACTGGCTGCCCTGGAAGCTGCGGGAGGTAGGGGCGGGTCTCCCTGAGAAGGGTGGGGACTGGGGACTCCCCCTGCCTGCGGGGGCACGCCAGCACCCTGCCCCATGCCCCCAGCCTGGAGCCCAGGGTGGCGCGGGCGGGCGGGGCTCACCCTTCTTCATGTCCCGGAAGGGCGGGTGGTTGGAGCAGTAGGGGCACAGCGGGTAGCTCTTGCCCCTCGAGCCGGACGACCACAGGACCAGCTCGAAGTCGTCCAGCGGGCACCGCAGCTCCTTGTAGAGCTTGATGGTGCCGTTCTGGGGCAGCGTGTGGGTCTCGTCGCAGTGCGAGCAGTGCAGGCGGCTCGGCTTGGCCTGGGCAGGGTCGGGGGGCAGGGGTCACCGGGCTGCCGGGGCCTCCTGGCCCACCCGCCCACGCTCAGCCTCCCCGGGACACAGCACGGCGCACGACGCAGAACACATGCAGGGCGGGCAGTGTGGTGTCGCCAGGACCGCTCAGGCCAGGGGCTCTGGTCACCGAGTCTCAGGGTGCTCACTGATCCACACGCGCACTAAGGTGCTGCCAAAACCCCACGTGTGCGTCAGCTTCCGTGACAGCGAAGAACGCGGGGTCAGGAGAGCGTGGACGGCCCACAGGTCAGGGCCCCACGGGTCACGCGCAGCTGGGTCTGAGGGCAGCACTGGGCATCTGCTGACGAAGCTGCCCAGGCCTCGCGGTCACTCCACGTGGAGGCCACTGGAGCGAGGCCGCAGGGAGACGAGACTGTGTCTCGTGCACACATGCATGCCCTCCTACCTGGATGTACTTCATGAAGCGGTGGCACTTCCCACAGCGGGAGAGGGGCTTGCCCGTGGCCGCCAGGGGCGAGAAGGATACCTCCATCAGCTCATCCATGCCTGCAAGCCAGCAGGACCAGAGTCACAGCCCAGCCCCAGCCACTGCCTCCCCACGGCTGGCGTACTGAGCCAGCTTCAGGGACCACCACGTGTGGCCAAGGGCGCCCCTGATGGTGGGTGAGGGCAGCCCCCTGGAGCCAGGGCCTGGGAGCGGGTCTCTTGGAGGGGGATGATGGCCCTAAGCCGGGTTCCCCCTCCAAGGGGCAGGGAAGGGGCACGCTCACCCGCGATGGAGTCCACGAAGTAGTGGAACTTCCTCTTGAAGACGTCCAGGGTGTGGCCGAGGACCTGGCGGAAGTCGGCTCTGCCCTGGGCGATCAGGCTCAGCTGCTTCTCCACGGCGCTGCGGATGGTGGGCAGCACCAGCTCGGCGTCTGCGGGCGGGCGGCGGCGCTGTGAGCCCTTGCGCCGCGCGCAGCGGTAGGGCTCCCACCTGTGATCTCCCAGGAGCCCTACGCTGGGGACCAGGGCACCCCGTCACAGGGCGGTGTCACCGGACGGGCTGCCCGGCGGAGGTCTGTGCCGTCTCCCACGGCCCCTGGGGGACCCCTCAGGGCAGATACGCGGCCCAGCACCAAGGACTCCAGGGCCGGCCAGGAGCCAGTCTGCAGGAATCCAGGCCCCTGCTCTCAGACCCAACACTTCCAGGAGGCCATCAGGCCGCCGGTGTGGGCCCTGTGGTGGAGGCGTGGCCGGGGCGGGCCCTGCGGCGGAGGGCGGGGCCGGGGCTCACCGATCTTGTAGTAGCCGTGCACCAGGACGATGCCGAGATTGGTGGGCTTGAGCCGGCGCCCGCTCTCCACGACCACGTAGTTGCGCTGGCAGATGTTGTTGATGTGGACAGGGATGCTGGCGTCCGTCCCTGGGCACAGCACGGACTCGGCTCTCCCTCCGCCCGCCCTGCGAAGCCGGCTTCTCAGCTCCCCCACCCTCCGCCCACGCCACTCGCAGGCCCGCCCCGGACTGGACTGTCCCCCGACGTGGAGGCTCCTGGTGGCTCAGAGGCGAAGGAGCTCGGCCGCCCGTCCCTCGCGTCTGCTGAATGTGAGCTCCAGCCTCTCCCCGCCTCGCCCCACGGCACACGCTCGTTCCAGAACCAGTGCGCAGACCCACGCGCAGAGTGCCGCGGCAAAGTGGTTCCCCAGCAGCTGGCAGACCAGCCGGCGGCCTGGCCTCGGGGTCCCTCCTGATAGGCCCTGGGGACGCTTCCAGCTGCAGAACCGGCCAGAGCCTGTCAGCCTCTAGGGACCTGGTCCACCAGAGCCAAGCCCAGGGAAAGACAGGGCCCCTCGTGAGGCACGGGGCTGGCTCCAGGGGTGTGAGAACTCAGGTCACAACCCTGGGCCTGGGGTCTGGGCAAGGCCCCTCACCCGCGTAGCAGCGGCCACAGAAGCTCCTGAGGACACCGCCCCATGTGGCGCTTCCGGCCCGAGGGAACAGGGCTGTGGGGCCTTGGCCTTCCTGCTGTCCGCGGACTCGACCTGTGCCCTCCCTGCAGGTGAATCAGGGGCCCCCTCGGCCAACGCTCAGCCCCGGAGATGAGCTAGTGCCAAGGACGCATCTCTAGGCTCAAGGCCAGGTCCGGGGATGGAGGCCGCAGCCACGGCCCCAGCTGCCCCGCCCCGCTTGGCGGGCCCCGGTGGGACACACCGATGCCGTGCTTCTCCATGAGGGTGATAAGCTCGGCCTCCGTCAGGTAGTCCGGTGGGCTGGTCTGCTTCTCCAGCAGCTTGACCTCGGCCACGGCCAGGGTGTCGCCCTTCTGGCAGGTGGGCAGGCTCTCCTCCAGGGGCACGCTCTGCCAGGGCATGATCTCCGTGAAGCCTGCAGAGACACCGGCCCTCAGGACACGCACTGCGTGTCCGCGGACGGGGGAGCGCCCGCCTGCCGCCCCTACCTGGGGAGATGACGGTCTTGCCCGTGCAGGTGAAGCGCTCGGGCCCAATCCGGAAGGAGACGCTGCTCTGCAGGTACTTGCAGTCGTGGCTGACGGTGGCGATGAAGTGCCTGGTGATGTACTCGTAGAGGCGCCAGGCCTCACCCCCTGCCACGGGCGTGGACGCTCAGTGCCAGGCTCCGGCTCCAGGCAGCCCCGTGTTCCTGCTGCGGCACTGGGGCCCCTGCTCCCAGCCCACGGGGATGGGGGACTCCAGGCCCCCCATGGTTGAGCCTGTCACACTGCCCCGCCTGGCCTTCTGCCCCAGGGCCTCCCGAGGCAGCGCCTGCCCTCATGTCACTCCTGTCCCGGCCCAGCGATGGAGCACAGCTTTCAGATGCCCCACGCTGCCATGGGCCCCGAACCCCTCCAGAGATTGGGTCACCAGCGTGCCTCACCCTGCCCTCCTGTGAAGCTCGATGCATGCGTGCGTGCGTGTGTGCCAGAGAGCGTGACGTCTGGGGAGCCCCATACCTAACTCGGCCTCCGTGGCAGCCTTCATGGGGGTGATGGGGGGATGGTCACCAGCATCGTGGCCTTTCCGTGGGCGGTTGATGCCTGCTGCTAAGAGCCGCTTCACCTGCGGGGAGCCGGGGCGGAGCGGGCGTGAGCCAGGCACGGTCCCCGGCCCTTGCAGGGAGCGCCGCAGCCGCCCTGGCTCAGCACTCGGGCCCAGCTCACCGTGTCAGCCCAGTAGGGGTGGTTGGCCTGCTGCCGCAGAGGCCCCTTCAGGTCGAAGCTCTCGGGGTAGTGGGTGGTCTCGGTGCGCGGGTAGCTGATGTAGCCCTGCGTGTAGAGCCGCTCGGCGGTCTGCATGGCGTGCTGCGGGCCCATTCCTGCCAGAGACACAGGCTCACTGCTGAGACGCCAGGTGCCCCAGGCTGGGCGCTCAGGTTCCTGGGAGGCCAGTGCCCTTGTCCGCAGGCCCAGCCCAAGGCCGAGCTCCACCAGCAGGGCAGGCACGGGTGACCGGCGCGGCCCTCGAGACACAGCCGGCCGCTTGCCTGGTGGCAGTCACCCCTTCCTATCGGCCAGGTAGCCTGTGCTTCCAGGTCACGAGGCCCTGGGACAGGAACAGCGCCCACACTTACCCAGGGCAGAGCTGGCCACACGCAACATCTCCACGGTGTTCAGGGCGAGTGGCCGTTGCTTGGCCTTCTCCTTCCTGCTCGTGGCCTCCACCTGGGGACGGGCCGGGGTCAGGGTGGGTGGGCAGGTGCTTGGGTGAGCGCGCGAGGAGCCGCCGAGGGTCTGACTCTCGTCTGCCCTCTGGGCTTCTTTAGCGCCCTTTACAGCGGCCCCACGACTCGAATGAATGTTTGTTCAGGCCCAAAAAAGGAAAATCAGAATTCTAGAGACGTTTTTTCAGGAGAGAAGCTCTGGAGGAGAGGAGTCAGGAACAGGGGCTGCGCACGGGGGCCCAACGGGAGCCAGCACCCCTGCCCGCAGGGAAGGCGGGGGTCCTGGGGTGCGGGCCCCTCATGGTGCCCCCAAGCATGGCTACACCTTCTGATTTGTCAGGAAAAGCGGGAAGTCCGAACGTTTTCTGTGAAATCTCCTAACTTATAACCGTGGGTCGCCGTGAGGAACTTCAGTGAACAGCTCCCACTTGCGGAAAAGCGAGGTGAGCAACCAGCTCAGCCTCTAGGCTAAACGGCTGTTGGAGAGGTGACCATCCTGTCTACAGCAGAAGCAATCCAGGCTTCTCAACCGCCACACTCCCCCCTGCCAACCCCATGTGAACCCAGCCAGGGCCACACCCCGAGCTCTGGTCAGACAGACACAGCAGTGGAGGCTGGGGTCACGGCGGGGAAGCCCGGCCGTGGTGGCCGTCACGGGCAGAAGCGGGGGGCAGCTTTAGAAGTAGCACTGGCGCCTGAATCGACTGCACGGGGAGAGAGGGACCCAAGGAGGCATGACTGCAAGGCGCAGCCGCCACGGCCGCAGACCCGCCCGTCAGTCCTGCAGGCCCAGTCCCCTGCCCCGTGGCATCAACCGCTTCCTACCAGCCACGTGCCACGCTTCCAACTCCTGAGACCCTGAGTGAGACACATGGCCGGTGAGGCCAGGAGAGGGGACGGCCCGGAGCGGCCGTGCTGACTGTGGGCCCTGGGTGGGCTCTCGACGGGCACAGGGGCCTCTGGCTGGATGTGCCGAGGACAGACACCGAGCAAGGGGACACCCACAGAGCATGTGCTCTGTGCAGTCAGAGCGGGCAGCGGTGTGCGGCCACAGCCTGGTGGGGGGGCGGGGCAGGATCGCGGTGGGGGCGCATGTGGAAGTAACCACCCCTCTCTCTACAAGGTGTCTGTTTTCCAGAAAGACAGAGGGACTCCGAGGCCCCACAGCAGCCCACCTGGGCCTCCTGCTCGAGCTTGGTCATGTTCAGGAACATCTGTGCGATCTCCCGGTCGAACACGCGCACCCGGTCCCAGTCCAGGAGGAGGGGGCGGTCCTTATCGACGTCCACCTGCAGGAGGGGGACAGCAGAGTCAGGGGGACAGCGCCCAGGCGAGCCACCGCCCGCGGGGAGTCCAGGCAGGCGGCGCTGGTCCTTGCCCGGGCCTGGCTGGAAGGATCAGGGCCGGACCTGTTCAGGGCCACAGCCCAGCGTGTGGGTGGAGGCCCAGCCGCTCCCGGAGCACAGGCTGCTCTGACAGAGGCCTCGCTGAGGTGAGGGAGACAGTCTCAGGACGGGAGCCCAGCGCCGAGGCTGAGCTGTCCTCAGGGACGTTGCAGCCACCCCCACAGCCCTTGCGGGCCCTCGGCCCGGCCCCGCTGGGGACCCCAGCCCCGTGTGGACTGCAGCGGCTCCGTGTTACACTCGAGTCTTAGGAGAACCTTCCATCTTTCTTACTTGGAAAACGTGTTCTAAGGCTTTTTAGAAGCTGGAAGGCCAGTGGCTCATGGCCCTCAATCCAGTCCTTGGACCTGACCAGCCTGGCCGCGGACCTGACCCTGTGCTGGACGGCCCTCTCCTGTGCCCACGGTGGGGCAGCGGTTCACGTCCCTGCCCTGGGCCTGGGGACCACGATGACGGTGGAGGTACTCAGCCGCCACACCCAAGCCCAGCAAGTCCCGGTGTGAACGGGAAAAGGCGGCAGACCTTGGCCTGCAGCACCCAGTAGGTCTCCGGTTTAAAGGACTGGATCTTGTCATGCCGCTCCACACAGAACCCCAGCGTGGGGGTCTGGCACGGCCCGAAGGAGATGAGTGAGCTGTCCAGGTTGCCGTATTTCCCCTGGAAGTACTTAGTCTGGAACCTGTGAAGGGGGTCGGAGAGATAAGGACACATGGGTCAGGCGCGCACTTGTGTCGGGGGCAGGTGGGCGGGGCGGGAGGAAGCCCTGCGCCCTGCTCCGAGAAGCAGGCAGAGGGCAGTGGCTTTGAGCTCCTCGCAAGTCCCACGCCTCCCCCCGAGCCCGCCCATTCTCACTGCCGCGGGGGCCCCGTGGTCTGCGTCAGCGAGAGACAGCTGTCTCAGGGACCGAGAAGGCGGACAGTCTCCTGTCTCTGGTCGGGCCTGGGGGGACGGTGGGGGGGGGGGGCACCTCGTGAAGGCGCAGCCGATGCGGAGGTCCAGCTCCTGCCGCGCGTCCACCGAGAGCGCCTCGTTGTGGTCGGGCTCGCCCAGGCGGGCCATGGCAGCGCAGATGTCCGTGTCTGTGATGGAGCTGAAGCGGGCCCGGAACACCGTCTGCTCACCACCGTGGGCCTGGTTCATGACGGGCAGCACCGCGTCCAGCACCTGAGGGGCCCGGTGGTGACGCCCACAGCTGGCCCAGGCGCCCGCCCCTCCCGCTCCGGCCGGCCGGCCGGCCACTGCCCTCCCCTCCGCAGCCTGGGTCTCCGTGGGCCTTGGCCACCGCACTCCCTTCCCTTCCGTGCTCACACCCTTCTCTCCCTACAGTGGCTTCCACCCTCAACCAGGAGGTGCTACCGCCAGGGACGCGAGAGATCCCGGCCACTAAGTCTGCCTTCTTGAGGAGAGTATGGGGAGCGGGGCGGCATCTGGGAGACCCTCCAGCAATGGGAGGAAAGACAGCGACGGGAAAAGAAGGCAGGGCAACAGACAGGTAGGAGCATGGGCTCTGGACACAGCCCTGTGGGCTTGGGGCTCCTGGAGCCCAGAGTCACTTAAGAGTCACGGAGGCCGCGCCCCAGCGGTGGGTAGGCGGGCGGGGCCCGGAGAGGACCCCGGGTGACAGCGGGGTGTCACAGCCCTGGGAGCCGCAGAGGCGGGGCGGGTACCGTAATGGAGCAGAGCTGGCAGGGGTGAGATGGGTCAACAGGAAGCCCGGCTGCAGGGCTGAGGTCCCAGCGTGGGGCCGGGAGGGCCCAACACTCAGAAGCCACGCTCTCCTCCCGGCAGCCCTGCGCCGGAGAAATCCTGCCCCAGTACTTCCTCACAAGCTGCCCACCAGACGATGGGACACTCCCGGCCTGGGCAGAGCCGGCGGCCGCATGGACCTCCACCCCTTGGGGCCCTGGCCCCCAGTGTGGCGGCCTGCGGACCCCCAGCCCTCACCTCGAAGCAGATATTCTCGCCCTCCTTGTCGCAGTCCAGCCACAGCACAATGCAGTCACAGCCCCTGCCCTCCACCTGCGCACAGATACGCGTGTGCACTGCCTGGCAGCCCCACCACCACCCACGCAGAGCGTGCGCCCCGAGCCCCCCCAGGCTCCCCTCAGGAGCCCTGGAGCTAGGGCAGGAGTCACCGGTGGCTCAGCCTCTCAGCAAAGAATATAGTTCAAAGAACTGCTAGTTTTTAGACCAAAAAACATAATAAATGCATGAGATCTTAATCCCCAAAACTGCATCAAAAAAGAGAGACTGAACTGAAATGACTAGACGTTAAGGGCAGTTGTCTTAGATACTGAGATTACAGATAAATTTTTTCTTTCTCCTTATTTGTATTTTCTAACTTCTACCATGGGTTTGCATTATTTTTACTGTTCTTTATTTCTTAAAGTTTTATGTTTTTACTTTTACTCCTGGGTGCACCGGGACCTCGCTGCTGTGCGTGGCTTTCTCGCTGCAGTGAGGGGGCTACTCTCCCGTCACAGTGCAGTAGGAAGCCCTGGCTCTGGGGCATTGGCTCAGCACTCGGGGCACACAGGCTTAGTTATATCGCAGCACGTGGGATCTCCCTGGACCAGGGACTGAACCTGCGTACCCTGCACCAGCAGGCAGATTCTTAACCACCGGACTCCCAGAGAAGTCCACGTGTTTACATTTGTTTTAGAACCCACGACCACCAAACCATTTTAAAGCAGGAGGCTGGTCTGGGGGCTGAGTGGCCGGGGCGCCCAGGCAGGCCGTGAAGGGGAAGCGTGGGCCCCAGGGAGCCCGGGACGCACCTGCAGGAACTTCACCATGTTCAGCTTGGGGTTGGCCTCCTTCTTCTCCGTTGGGGCCTGGCTGAACAGCTCAGCGGGGTCCACCTTGTCCCACTTGTTGTACTTTCCTGTGACACACGCCAGGACGTCAGGACCACACGTCATAGCTATGGGGCCCGGGACCCCGGACGGGGAGGCTCAGGGCAGGGCCTCCTTCGCTCGGGAGCTAGCCAGCTCTGGGCGGGCCTGTGGCAGGGGCACCGCTCCTAGAGGGCTGACTGCCCAGGCAAAAGGCACGCCGCTCACCCCGTGTCCTCCTCGGCCAGCGCCTGCACCCTCTCCCCGCTCAGCGCTTGGCTGGCCTTGACAAGCGCTCAGCAGATCCTGGGGGACCTTGGTATCCTCAGGCCCCCTGTCCCGTGCATTGCCCCCCACTTCTCTACTTGAGGCTCGGGGTGCAGGGGCCATGGACGATCCTGGGAGGTGACGGCTCTGTCCTCAGACCTTTCACACAAAAGGAGCAGAGAAGCAGCTAGGCCCAGAGTTCCGGTCGGACCCACAGCAACCGCGGCCCTGGAGCCAACCCATGGGGTCACTGGCGCTGGCCTTTCGTTGCCATCCGCCGAGTGACTGCACACAACGGGCACCCTTGGCAGGCAGCGGCCCACTCCAGAACACCCGCACAGGCCAGGCTCCCACTCAGGTGCGCGCTACCGCCTCCACGCTGCCCAGGAAGGTGACCGAGGGCCACTGCTGGGGCGAGGACGGCAGGGCAGCCCCACAGCCTGCTGGCCTCGGACTCACCGGTTCTGGACAAACCGCTCTGCCCCGAGCCCGCCCCGGGCTCCCTCTGGGCCGTGGGCAGCACGGGGCAGGGTTCCTCGGTGGAACGGGGGTGGGCGGGGGCGGGGCTCACCCAGGAAGTCCAGGGTCATCACGTGGCCGCAGACGGACGTCATCTTGAAGCGGACGGGCTGGCCCGCGAAGGTCCCGGGGTACTCGTACACCGAGCAGGTCCCGTTCAGCCCTTTGCGCGAGGACATGCTGCCTGCGGGGAGGCGGGCGGGCGGCCCTGACGAGCTTCCCCGGGGCCGGGCCCCCCAGAGTGCTCAGAGACCGCCCGAGGGCTGCTCCAATTTCTGTGCTCACTCCTGAATTTGATTCCTGCCTCTGTCAGACCCTCCTCAGAAATGCCCCGGAGACGCCCTCACTGTCGACCCCAGGGTGACATCCTGACGACCCACGGAGGGTCCCTCTGCCGGCCTCTCTCGGCCTCTGGGGACCAGGCAGGTCTGAGTCTCCCCTCCCTTCCAGACCACAACTTCTCAGCCTGCTGCTCCAGGGTCTCCTCTTCCTTCAGCCGCTAGGCCAAGGGGAGGTCAAGGCAGACGCCTGCCATCTCTGAGTCCCCAGCACCCAAGGACCCGGGCCAGGGTGGGCAAGGACAGTGTTATCGCTTCCCAGTGCCCTGGGGCCGCGGCTCAGCCTCGTGGCGCTCCCGAGTGGCATGAGGGGTGTGCGTGTAGCTGGGCATCCGTGGAGCACTGGTGCAGATGCCCGGGCATGGCCTTGGCACACAGGCTGGGGCAGGGGGCCTTCCGGCAGACTTCCTGCCCAGGTTATCAGGGCTGGCTTCTGCCGTTCAAGAGCAGCCACCCTGCCTGCCGCATGCTCCCAGGCGTGCCTGGGGGAGACCTGGCTCACGCTGAGTGAGGAGGTAATCGCACCCCATGGGGACCAAGTGACTCAGGGGCCAAGGGCTTCATCCATGCCCGCTGTTCCCAAACAGACTCGACTCCTGGGGCCTGGGGCTGCTTCGGAAGAAGGCAGGCCTGACTGGCGGGGCAGGAAGGCCCACACTCCCACACCAAAGCCGACGGACGCCAGAGCTGCCCTCCTACCTCGAGACAGGATCCTGGCGATGGACTGGGCCAAGGACGGCTTCTCAGCCACCATGAGCACGGTCTTCATCGTGCCTCGGGCGGCCAGCACCCCTCCTCACTCCGCTCTCAGGAAAGGGCTCAGACACCGCGCTGAGGCAGCGTCACGCTGCTGCCACGCCGCCAACTGCTGAGACGAAAGATACACAAAGAACATCGAGGCTTCCGGCACAACCTGCCACCCTGAATGATCAAACATACCCGAGGCAGAACCAGAAACTCGGGGAGACCTGAAGGCCTCTCACAGACAACGGCCCAGAGCAGCTGAACCAGCTCCAGATGAGGGTCTCCTGTGAGAGAAGCTGAGGTGGCCCCACGACCCTAGGTGGATTTTGGCCCCAAATCTGCACTAGGAAGCTTGGGCGGGGGAGCCTTTGAGCCTGGCCCCCTCCAGTGGAGTGGTCTTTTACCCCCGGGGCCAAGAGCGGCCTCTCCACCGTGGCTGAGCTTCAGGGTGCCCTGCGCACCTTACCCAGGGCACGTGCCCAGGCCAGGCGCCACGTCCTCCTGACACCAGACCAGCCAGCCAGGGGATCTAGCCTCCAGTAGAGCTTGCTTGGCCCTTCCCAACAGGCTCCGACCGAACCCCCTCCTGCCCTGCCCCACCTCTGCAGGCCAGGCTCGAGCCAGTTAAGTAGAACACTGTGGTCTAAAGCAGGAATTACACAGCCCCGAGGATTTCCCACCTTGGTGACTGAATCAAACATCCAGGCAGTCAGGGAAAGGAGCCTTTCTGAGCTCCTCCTTTGCAGGCAGTGCTACAGCTGTAAACACCACTTCGTTGACTCTTTAATGAGCAATTCTACAAGGCCTGCTTCCCCGGTGGCTCACCTGGTAAAGAATCTGCCCGCAATGCAGGAGACCTGGGTTCGATCCCTGGGTTGGGAAGATCCCCTTGAGAAGGAAAAGGCTACCCACTTCAGTATTCTGGCCTGGAGAATTCTATAGACTGTCTAGTCCACGGGGTCTCAAAGAGTCAGACACGACAGAGCGACTTTCACTTTTCACTTTCACTACAAGACCTTCATTGGAACTCTTTAAACTACGGGTAGACTGAGGTTACACTCATCTCACATGCTAGGAAAGTAATGCTCAAAATTCTCCAAGCCAGGCTTCAGCAATATGTGAACCGTGAACTTCCATATGTTCAAACTGGATTTAGAAAAGGCAGAGGAACCAGAGATAAAATTGCCAACACCCGCTGGATCATTGAAAAAGCAAGCGAGTTCTAGAAAAACATCTACTTCTGCTTTATTGACTATGCCAAAGCCTTTGACTATGTGGATCACAATAAACTGTGGAAAATTCTGAAAGAGATGGGAATACCAGACCACCTGACCTGCCTCTTGAGAAACCTGTATGCAGGTCAGGAAGCAACAGTTAGAACTGGACATGGAACAACAGACTGGTTCCAAATAGGAAAAGGAGTACATCAAGGCTGTATATTGTCACCCTGCTTATTTAACTTATATGCAGAGTACATCATGAGAAACGCTAGGCTGGAAGAAGCACAAGCTGGAATCAAGATTGCTGGGAGAAATATCAATAACCTCAGATATGCAGATGACACCACCCTATGGCAGAAAGTGAAGAACTAAAGAACCTCTTGATGAAAGTGAAAGAGGAGAGTGAAAAAGTTGGCTTAAAGCTCAACACTCAGAAAACTAAGATCATGGCATCTGGTCCCATCACTCCATGGGAAACAGATGGGGAAACAGTGGAAATACTGGCTGACTTTATTTTTTTGGGCTCCAAAATCACTGCAGATGGTGACTGCAGCCCTGAAATTAAAAGATGCTTACTCCTTGGAAGGGAAGTTATGACTAAACTAGACAGCATATTAAAAAGCAGAGACGTTACTTTGTCAACAGAGGTCCGTCTAGTCAAGGCTATGGTTTTCCCAGTGGTCATGTATGGATGTGAGAGTTGGGCTATAAAGAAAGCTAAGATTTGATGCTTTTGAACTGTGGTGTTGGAGAAGACTCTTGAGAGTAACTTGGACTGCAAGGAGATCCAACCACTCCATCCTAAAGGGGATCAGTCCTGAGTGTTCATTGGAAGGACCGATGTTGAAGCTGAAACTCCAATACTTTGGCCACCTGATGCAAAGAGCTGACTCATTTGAAAAGACTCTGATGCTGAGAAACATTGAAGGCAGGAGAAGGGGACGACAGAGGAGATGGTTGGATGGCATCGTCTACTCAATGGAGATGAGTTTGAGTAAACTTCGGGAGTTGGTGATGGACAGGGAGGCCTGGCGTGCGGCAGTCCATGGGGTCGCGAAGAGTCAGACACGACTGAGCAACTGATCTGAACTGAGACTGAGGTTCAGAACATCTGAGACTTGTGTCAGACGTTTGCCAAGGCTATCGGGACCCCCGGCTCGCTGACCACCAAGCCCGCGCTGGGCTGACTCCTCACGTTCCCTTCTCGAGCGACAGCGAAGCCAGACGAGGCCGCCGGGAGAAAGCAGCGCTCAGGATTCCAGCGAATCTGCTCAGACCGCCCCCCCGCCCTCCTGTACACCCCGGGCGCCCTCCGGACTGGAACAGGCCTGGCCGGGCCAGGGGCGGAGCCTGGACCCCAACCCCGCCCGACGCCGCCTCAGTCCCCACCCGCGACGCAGACCCAGCTCGGTGCAGAGGGGCTCCGGCCCCAGCGCCCGCTCCTTCTGGACGCTCCCCGAACCCGCCCGCCCGGGAGGAGGAGCCGAGACTGTTGAGCCGGCCCGGGACCGACGCCCAGCCACGGGGCTGGACCCGCGCCCCAAATCGCAGAGCGCCCTGCCGCTCACCTGCGTCCAGCCTCCCGCTCCTGGAGGCCCACTTCCATCTGCTTCCGGGTCAGTCTCCATCTGCTTCCGGATCTGTCGATATCTGCTTCCGGGTCCGTGCCCGGGCAGCGTTCGCCTCTCCCCTCCCCCTCCCCCTCCCCCGCCCTCCGCGCCGCACTCTCGCACTTGTGGGTTCTGAAGCTCCGGAGTTCCGGGGCGGATCCTCCAGTCGGCCCTAGCACGCGGGGTCACAGGGGTTCCCCTCCAAAACCTTCCATCTCATTCTTCCCCCGCCGCGGGGAGGCAATAATGACAATTACCTACAAGGAGGAAAACTGGATGATAAGCATGAAGACGTATCTACTACTAATAAACTAAAAACTACCGATGCGTGTATAGCAGGCTTCTTTGAATGCTATAAACATTGTGGAATGCGTGGATGAGCTAATGTAAAACCTATCTGGAAAATAAAAACAACCTTTTGTTAGAGTAATGGGTTTATGGGAGATTTAAAAGAATTTTCGTGGCTTTATTTTAATATCTTTCTTTAAGGAGAATGTTTACAATTTATTTATTTTTGGTTGTGCTCTCTTTGCGGTGCAGGGCCTTTCTCCAGTTGCCGGGGGTGGAGGGTGCCCCTTCACTGCCTCGCACAGGCTTCTTGCAGTGGCCTCCTGCCTTCAGTGGTTGCGGCACAGTAGCTGTGGTGCAGTGGCTTTAGTTGCCCTGAAGGAGGAAACAGAACAGGCTCCATCTTGAAAGCAGGACTCCATCTTGGGCCGGACTGTGGACTTGGAGCTATATGCCCAGTATCTATGGAAACGACACACCAACTGGAAAACCAGGCCCCCGGAAGGAGGAGCCCCAGGGCTCTCCATGCCTAAAAGAGTACCCTAATTATCTGTGTAACCGAATAGAATCATACATGCTGTTATGCTTATTGGGGTATGACCACAGGCCTATTGATAAGTGTCCACTGTTAACTACCTAGGCTTAAGGCATATGATCACGGGTTAACTTTGATTGTATCTTTCTTTTTCCTTTATTCAGACTAGTTTCAGGAAACCTTATACACTCAGGGTATATAAGGTTTTCACAAACACTGATCGGGGTCCTTGGCTAAGAGGAGACTCTGCCTTGGGCCCGCTGGTGTAATAAACTGCACTCCACTATCTGCATTGTCCTTCTGAGTGAGCTTGTTTCCCAGAACAACGCGTGGTACGACAGCCCCAGGGCGTGTGGAACCTTCACACACCAGGGACCGAGCCCTTGTCCCCTGTACTGGCAGGTGAGTTCCTAACCGCTGGGCCACCAAGGAAATCCTACCATCTGATTCTGACCCTGGCTACGTGGAGTTTAGGGCAACTTGCACAAATTAAGGATGCGACGCCCCCCAAAAAAACCCATCCTTCATTTCAGACACCAGCTACAAACTCAGCTATCCCCAGGCCACCTATATTTCTGAGCAAATGGCCTGGGAGGCTCCCCTGAACCTCGGTGGCCACTGGGATTACATTCCTCAGGACAGTTGCGGGGACCACTGGCTCTGTGATGGACTCGGTCTCCAGACCCCTCCCCGTCCTGGGAGCTCAGCTCAAAGCTCGCATCGTCCCATCGCTGGGTGGGGCTTTCCTCATGGCCAGCATCCTTCACGAATCACCCATTAGTATAAACTCAGGGGCCCCCCTGAATAACAAGCGCTGGATTTAGAGGCTGCCTCCCAGGAACCAGGGACAAGGAGTAGCCGTTTCTCTACTATACACACCGTGGTCCACGCACAGCATCTCATTTATGGACCCAAGGACCCACGGGCAGGAGTGGACCCCCAGGGCCACCAAGCTCACAGACGCCTCCTCCCCCCGCTCCCTGGGGAGACCCCCGTGAGGACGAGGGGCAGAGGCCTGGGACAGAGCTGGAGTGGCTGAGGCTACCTCTGCCCCCTCCTGAAAGCCCGTCCAGATGCTTCCTTTTCAGGAGCTGCTAGTCACTCCGGGTTCACTCCAGGGGGACAGCGGCTGGGTCTGGAGGCGGCGGGGCATGCTAGGGGCATGGGAGGGGACGGAGCGGACCCTCACCCAGGGCCCCTACACCTTCTGCAGCCCCCAGCAGGTGTTGCCCACCATGAGGACCTGTCCCCTCTTCCCGGCTCCCCACACACACAAGTGTGCACAAGAAGCTTACTCCGAGGTGCTCAGCTTCCTTTGGGGGATGCGGAGTCGCCCCCTCAGGGACTCCATCCTGGCCTCCTGGGCACTGGTCTGTGAGCCCCATGCAGGTGCTTCCTCCATCAACGCTTCCCCTGGGTTAAGGCAGGAGCCACAAGGGCCAGCACATGGCCGCTCCCCCCCGACCGGCATCACAAGCCCAGGGGAGTTTGGGATGGCCACTGGGAGGGAGCCAGGCGTGCCAAGGCCCCACCTCTGGGAGGTGGGGAGGAGGGCGGGGGGGCTGGCCCCACCCCGCGAGGACGCGGGGGCTCTGCGCACACTGGGGGCAGACCTCTGCTCCGCCGCACGATGCCCTGGGTCCTCGTCCTCCTGGGGCTCCTGGCCCACTGCACAGGTGAGAGCCCCGGAGCGCGCGGCTCCCGGCCCCTTCCCACGCCCTGCTCTGCCCCGGTGCCCACCCGCCTCTGTGTCCCCAGGCTGCAGCCCTCAGCCTGTGCTGAGTCAGCCACCTTCCATGGCCTCGTTCCTGGGAGACACCGTCCGCCTGGCCTGCACTGTGCGCGGCGACCACGACATCGGCCTCCACAGCATCTACTGGTACCAGCAGAAGCCTGGCCACCCCCCGAGATTCCTGCTGAGATATTTCTCCCACTCGGACAAGAGGCAGGGCCCCAACGTCCCCCCTCGCTTCTCCGGCTCCAAAGACCTGGCCAAGAACACGGGGTATTTGAGCATCGCTGGGCTGCAGGCCGAGGACGAGGCTGTCTATATCTGTGCTGTGGGGGCCCTGGGCATAGGGCGGAGGCGGGAGATGCAGAGAGAGGAGAGGGAAGAACGGGAGCTAGCCACTCCGGGCTCCCAGGGCCCCGGGGCCCCCCGGGACATGCTCCCCTTGCACTAAAGGCCGAAGGGCTGCATCCCCACGGGGTGGGGGTGTGGGCGAGGAGGCTGGGGTGGTGGGCTGCCCAGGGCCAGAAGACGCTCCTGTGAACCCCCTTGGAGGGTGGATTTGGGGATTAAAGGTGCTTGCGTCTTGGGAGGTTGTTCTGCCGAGTGGTCTGAATTGGTCCAGAGGAGGCCCGGGATGCTCTGTGAACCATCAGAATGAGTGGAATGCGCCTGAGAACCAGCTGGGTGAAGGCCCCAGGAGACTGGCCCGCCATGGTCTGCTTGGCCAGAGCCCCTGGGCTTGTGGGTCTTCCGCGGCAGGTGGCTGACATGGCCCCTTGGGGGTGCCCCTGCCAAGGACAGGACACGCTGTTGTCACCTGATTGTGCACAGGGTAAGCAGCTTATAAAACACATTTGCTGGCCCTCCGGGGAGGAGAGTAGTGCCCAGGGATGTGTGTGGGCTCGGTCCCGTGCTGGGCCAGATGGTTCTGTGCCATGGGGAGCTGGCCTGTGCCCTTTAGGGGGTCCAGGAGCATCCCTGGCCTCCACCACCCAAACAGCCTCCCGCCTGTAGTTATGACAACCACAGACGTCCCCAGGCATCGCCGAAGGTCCCCAAGGAGGCAAAATCGCCCCAACCGAGACACCCTGGGCCAGGTGAGAGGAAGTGTTCTCCGTAAATGGCACAGATAGGAACTAGTTTTGGTTTTCTAGGCCATATAATCTTTGTGGCAACTACTTAATTCTGTCCTGAGAGCTCAGAAGTAGCCACAGACCCTCTGTGAACGCACGGGCATGACTGCTTCCTGTTAAACTTGGTTTACAGAAGCAAGACAGGGCCGGGCTGGTTGTGGCGCTTGGGCCGTGCTGTGCTGACCCTGCTCTGGAGAAACACTCGTTCCCGCCTCCAGGTTCCAGCCAGACCACACTCGGTGGGGTGAGCAAGGCCGCCTGAGGCCACTTGTGCCTGTGGACTCCAGGGTACCAGCCTCTCAGGACCCCAGAAACCCCATGGGCAAGGGTACGTCCTCACCAATGGGCTTGTTGGGTGAAGAGGAAACAGTGGGTTCCTGCTACTCTGGCCCACGTCTGCACCCCGAGCCCCGAGGAGCGGGGTCCACGTGTGTGTGCCCTGCAGAGAGGCACCCTGTACATCCATGTCCACACAGGTGGACACGTCTGCCATCCAGAGAGGTGACAGGTGAACCGTCTCCCCTGAATCCAAACTGGGCTGAGAACGTCCTTTGCTCAAGACTGAAAAGACCCTCCGGGGCAGCCCATCCATGTGTGTGTGTGTATGTGTGTATGTGTGTGTGTGTGTATGTGTGCGTATGTGTGCGTATATGTGCGTATATGTGTATATTTGTGTGTATGTGTGTATATGTGTGTATGTGTGTATCTGTGTGTCTGTCTGTGTGTGTGTAGGTGTGTGTGTGTATCTGTGTGTATCTCTGTGTGTATCTGTGTGTATATTTGTGTGTGTATGTGTGTATCTCTGTGTGTATGTGTGTGTGTATGTGTGTGTGTGTGTGTGTAGGTGTGTGTGTCTGCGTGTGTGTGTAGGTGTGTGTCTGTCTGTGTGTATCTGTGTGTGTGTGTAGGTGTGTGTGCGTGTGTGTAGGTGTGTGTGTGTGTATGTGTGTATGTGTGTGTGTATCTCTGTGTGTATCTGTGTGTATCTGTGTGTATGTGTGTGTCTGTGTGTGTATGTGTGTATCTGTGTGTGTCTGTGTGTGTGTAGGTAGGTGTGTGTGTGTGTGTGTGTAGGTGTGTATCTGTGTGTGTATCTGTGTGTATGTGTGTATCTGTGTGTGTCTGTGTGTGTATGTGTGTATCTGTGTGTGTGTCTGTGTCTGTGTGTGTATGTGTGTGTGTGTCTGTGTGTGTGTGTCCTGAGTTTCCTGTACAACCGTTTGTCTCAGCTCAGGCCGGTTCCCAGCCCCCTCTGGGCTTCTGCTGTCTGAAATGCACTGAGTTCTTCCCGCATCAGACCTTTGCCCCTGGGTGCTTTGCTTCCTGCATCAGACCTTTGAACTGTGGTGTGGAGAAGACTCTTGAGAGTCCCTTGGACTACAAGAGATCCAACCAGTCCATCCTAGTGGAAATCAGCCCTGAATATTCATTGGAAGGACTGATGCTGAAGCTGAAGCTCCAATACTTTGGCCACCTCATGCGAAGACGCAACTCATTTGAAAAGACCTTGATGCTGGGAAAGATTGAAGGTGGGAGGAGAAGGGGACAGCAGAGGATGAGATGGCTGGATGGCATCACTGACTGGATGGACATGAGTTTGAACAAGCTTCAGGAGATGGACAAGGAAGCCTGGCATGCTGCAGTCCATGGGGTCGCAAAGAGTCAGACACGACCGAGCGACTCAACTGACTGGGCTTCCGCTCTCTGAAATGCACTGAGTTCTTCCTGCATCAGAACTTTGCCTCTGGTCATGGACCACCAGGCCCTGGTTTCTAGAGGCCAGCTAGGTGGTCCCCGAAGAGCTCTGTCTCTTGCTTGTAACCAGCCCTTCTCTCGCTTCCGTCCTCTGTGATTCCGGGATTCAGAGTCACAGCAAGAAACCCAGAGAGCAGGGGTTCCTGTTGGTTCCTCCATCATCCCGCTCCCAAGTCTGACCCAGAAATGCAGAATCCAGCCGGCTGGGACACGTCAGCAGTGGTACTGAAAGCCAGGGCCCAGGCATTCGGGCCCGAGTTAGACGTTGAGGCCTGGGGAGGGGATCTGAGGAGGACCCAGGGGTCTGGCGGGAAGGAGCCTACCTATCAGACGTGGTGAAGCGCAAGGGCTCTGCACGCACACCGAGGTCTGTGTGGCTGTGACGGGGGCTGGCAAGTCGAGCTGGGGCGGGTGACCTCGCTCAAAGAGGCCGGGTGGGATTAACATTCAGAGGCCCTTGAGCGCACAGAGTCTCATCCGACACTGCCTTTTTGTGATATGCACACCGTTCACGACAGGATGTGAAATGAAGATACTTTCATTGCAGCAGAACTGGGAGGGACATGTCCCCTCATCAATGATTGAGGCGCCCCAGGGCTTTCCTATAGTAAAACCAGGATAAATGTCTGATCTTTCCCCCCTTTATTTACCAGTCGTTGAAAATCACAAGTCAGTGTGCTAGCATCCTCCAACTGTGAGCACCATCACGCGTTCACGGGTATAAGACACTGAGGTGTTTAAATCCACCACGACCGTGGTTAAGTTTTTCTGTCTTCGGGCAGTTAAGTTTTTCTGTCTTCGGGCAGCGCAAGGTCTTTCAAGTCAGGGCCTAAGCACAAACACGACAGTGCGTCCTAAACAGCTCCTTCAGTTTTGTCTTTAAAACATTTGGGCCAAGTCACCTTCACTTCAGCTGGTTCTCTGAAAGATGATGATTTTATAAAAAAATTGTTGGTGTATGGATCTTTATTGTTGTTGTTTTTCCTTTATTTTTAGTTTTGCCATTCATCTTTTTTATTATTGATTTAATTTTTATTTTATTTTGGAGTGTCGTTGATTTAGTGTTGGGTCAGCTTCAGGTGTAGAGCCAAATGGTTCAGTTACACACATATCTGTTCTTCTTCAAGTTCTTTTCCCAGTTAGGTTCTTACAGAATATTGAGCAGAGTTCTCTGTGCTACATTTACAGTGAGTGAAGTCGTTCAGTCGTGTCCGACCCTTTGCGACCCCATGTAGCCTACCAGGCTCCTCCGTCCATGGGATTCTCCAGGCAAGAATACTGGAGTGGGTTGCCATTTCCTTCTCCAGGGGATCTTCCTGACCCAGGGATTGAACCCAGGTCTCCCGCATTGCAGGCAGACACTTAAACCTCTGAGTCACCAGGGTCCCCATTAATCATCTGTATCCAACAGTGTGCATATGTCAATACCAAACTCTAACTTCGCCCCCCATCGCATTTCCCCTTTGATAGCCATAAGGCTGCTCTCGTGTCTGCGAGTCTGTTTTTGTTATGTATACAAACCATCTGTATACTTTTTTTCGATTCCACATAGAAGTGATAAAGTATGATATTTGTCTCTGTCTGAGTTACCTCAGTATGATGGTCCATCCATGTTGCTGAAAATGGCATTAGTTTATTCTTTTTTTTACAGCTAAGTAATATTCCAGTGTGTGTGTGTGTGTGTGTGTGTGTGTGTGTGTGTGTAGTGGCTCATGTGGTAAAGAATCTGCCTACAATGCAAGAGACCTGGGTTCACTCCCTAGGTTGATAAGATCCCCTGGAGAAGGAAATGGCAGCCCGCTCCGGCATTTGTGCCTGGAGAATCCCACGGACAGACGAGCCTGTCAGGCTATAGTCCCTGGGGCTGCAGAGTCGGGCACGACTGAGCGACCAGCACAACACATATGAGTGTCGTCTTTAAAAGATTAATGATTTAGAACACCCTGGATGGAAAAAGAGGACAAGAATGAGAAGCATTTGAAACCATCCATGTGACCAGAGCCCCTAACATTTCACTGTCCCAAGAGAAGAAACATTCAGGAGAAATTCAGGAAAACACAACCCACCTTACACCACTCACTCAAAATTAAAAAAGAAAGAAAGCCGTTAAAAAGCAACGTGAAAGCTCTGTTTGCCTCCCTCAAGGCACGGTGGCGCCCGGGCCGGAAGTCGCGACAGGTTCTAGTCCACCGGACTCTGCATGGACCGCAGAGACGGAAGTGGGGCTGGGAGGGTGGTGGTCCTCACAGGCTGACCTTGACCCCTCCACTCCCAGTGGCTGCCGTCCAACTGGGGGCGGTCTGGAAAAGTCCCTCAGATCAGACACCTCCTGTCCTTCCCGGCATCTCATTAGCACGTCCTCGACCCAGAGGCCCAGGGACGCAGCAGCTTCGAGCTCGGCGTCAGCTCCGCGGACCTCAGAGCTGTCCCGGGGGACCAC